ATTTCTGTGCTTTTGTGAGCCTCTTGTGGCTGCTTCTGCTGCTACTGCAATATTAGTTGATGCTAAGCTGCATCATTATTTATGCCATCAATTCCCTTGATTAATGTGCAACGCTTCTTCTTGCTCTGTCTTCTGTAATTAGTTTATACGCTCTAGGCCAAGGTAAGTTTCTATAATCCCCCAAGGTTAAGTAAATCATACCGATTGGACAGTGTACTGCCTATGGTCTTCTCACATCTCAGGATTAGATACCTATAAACACAGTATACACAGTGTACGCTTTATTTATTTTCTGTCATGGGCCATTTATTTGCTGTCGTTTCCTATGAGGCTGTCTAACCTGATTGTACGGACACATCCTCAAATATACCTCAGTCAACAGCCGAATGCAAATACAAACACATTATGTTTAGACACTGCTACATAATTAAACACACACTCTAACCCACACCCACGTTGGATGAAATACACATAAAAAGTAACCAAAAACCAAGTCACACTCACTTGTATGTGTCAACAGAGAGAGAGAGAGAGAGAGAGTAGTGAGTGTGGTTGTGTTAATATGAGCTCTCTCTCTACCTTGCTCACACTTGTTTGCCTCTGCCGACACTGTGGTGCACACTCGATTACGAGAACCACTAAATTCGATTTGAATTTCCAACGATTTGAACGACTTTCCGGTTAAAGGTCGATGCAGCCTAAAGTACCTAATAAATGCATTTAGCAGAGTAACATAAAACAAATGGCGCGGAGGGAGGTGGAGGTGGAAAGGTCGTTCAGCAAGTCAATTTGTCAATTTTAAAACAAAGTAAAGCGGCAAAAAAGCTAAAAAATAAAGAAAGCAACGCTTCAGGCGAGTGATCCGACAATTTATTACCCAGTACGCTAGACCGCAGGGAGTTCCAAGTGCAAGACCAACTGATGTTTCGAAAGCAACTATTTTTAATATGTGATGAGCAATTACGTAAGCCCAGCTACTTTTTTTTCGCAAAACCATGGTAACAATTCGTCTCGGGATTACTCCTAAGCATGTAATATAAAAGAATGCACTAAATAGGTCCATAGCGACTGTCACATACATTTCCATTGACGCAATATACTCTAGTAGACTATAAGTATTGTATGCATAACAAATGGTACAAAAAAATGTGATTGAGACAGAGAGGGGTATACAAAATATACGACCATTGAGAAAAAGTTCAAAACAAACACAGTACACAAGTGTATGTGTGTCTGTTTGCAGAGCCTTGTATGTGACAATCTGTAAAATTCGACGTGCCAAACGCCCACAAACGCACACAAACAATCAACAATCGCAGCAGAAAGACAGACAGAGAGACGGGGGCAGTCATTCAGGCACAGCACACCCCCTCACCATCCCTTCCCAAACTCACTTATGTATTCACTCACTCACTCACTCAGTCACGCAGTCAACCATGGGGTCGGCGGAGTCTGAGTTCGAGTGGCATTTCCGCCGAAAGCAAAATCAAAGTTAAGCACTCAATTTTCAATTAAGCTCGAAAAATGCATACTCATATACACACACACACACACACACATAAGCAAAAGCTACCCTCGTCCGATGGCTCTGTGGAAAAGCGACCAGAAAAATGCCATCAAATTGCTACCAGTGGTAGCAATGGATTCCCTGCCAGCCTTATCAACAGAAATTCCCAAGGATTCTCTACCCATTTGAAGGGTAACTCACTTGGGAGGAGAGTAATACACAAATACACTGAACCAATTTGATTTTATTGAACTTTAACAAAATGTGGTGCTTTTTTTTGTCTAAAATAAAATCTGTTTATTTTTTGTTGGATCGATGGGATAGTGGGATAGTAATCCAATAAAAACCACCGATCAATATACAGACGATTATAAAGTTAGACATCTCTTCTAGCTCACTTTTAAGATCATCTCCACACAGAGGATTTCGAATTCGTTCAGAGGTTTCACTGTCTAGCTGGACAGCAAATCAAAGAAGAGCACACATACTGACTTTCGAGGGATGGCCTCAAATTCATTCAAATGCCTAAGGCAGTTTGTGTTAAATTCACTTTGCCTGTCACCTGCCCGTCCCAGGGTGCGCACCTCCACAGGCGCCCAGACTCCCCGCAGTAATGGACCGGGGCCAACACATGATACGTACATAGAGATGTGTTTCACCTTCGAGTTATTCTACGTTTTTTGCTGGTAAAGTGGCTTCTTATTTTCGTTCGTTACGCGGCTGGATGATGTTTCCGTTTGTCTATGACCCGATGGAACGGGAGACAACGTTGCTAGTGTTGGGCAGGGTGGCAACGTCATGCCGGAGGCGTAATCTGTTTGCTCTCCTAATTATACGTGGTAAATGGGGGTGTGCCACTGAGCTGATGGCATTTTCTCATGCGATTAGGTTCAGAAGTTAAATGTTTAATGTTTAATCTGTGCCTCATGTTTGTCTGTTATCATTAACCTGCCGCTATACACAAATTATTGCCTGGCAACTGATTGTCGAGCCCACCCACTCACGGGGAGGCTCTAAGGCAGAGGCAGAGCCGAAGGAGCAAAAGAGCTGAGGTAAAAATGTCAGACAGCCCACAAACAAACGCAATCAACAACATCATCAATGCCAGCTAGGCGTCAATAGTTCCAAGGGAAAATCGAGCAAAAGAGGAGGATGTACTTGACAGACAGGCAGACAGACATGAAATGGGTGGCAACGTAGGGAGCGTTTGCATAAGATATTTGACTTGTCTAAGAAACCCGTCAGACACGCTGACAGACACTTCCACCTACAGCTTTAGCTCCAGCTCCTGCTGCTCCTATCCACCTCCTCATCAATGCCATTCCAATGGGGCGTATACGCAACAGCGCTGACTCGTGTTTACAGCGTACCCGAATAGCCTTTCTAATGCCTAAGGAATTCCTAGAAAATTTAATTTATTTTTGGAATTTTTTTTTCTCTGCTTCAAAACGCTACTGCTCCTGCGGTTTATCTTTGAAAACAGGCTGTGACAGACGCATACAAGCTGTGACAAAGTGAGACAGGCAGGTAGGCAAACATGCATACAGACCAACAGACGGACAGACAGACAGGAACAAATAGACAGACAGACACACAGACAGACAGACAAACCACACATTGCCATATCTTGTGGTGGTACACCCTGGTGGGACCGCCAGGGTTATTGTACTTTTCGTGTTCAAAAATTTCGATAAGTAGCAATTTTCAAGTTATGCCTATTTCTTCCTCCCGGCAACCTAATACCCCAAAACTGAGAGCACTTGAGCACCCAGGGGCAGGACTCGGAAGGCTGGAATAGGGAATTTAAGCTGTTCAGCTATTAATTGAAATCTTATCTTTTCTGTGGTATTTACGTAAAATGTTGGGCCCAAAATAAGCCATTGGGGAGGCCGTAAAATGTTTTTCGGAGATACAATTCCGTTGCTTAAGTGAAAATATCAGTTACAAAAGAGGGAAAGAGATCAAAAGTAAACGCTATCCGTGAGCATGTATCCGTACTTTTTAACGGATACTTGATATTTAAATGGAAAGGATATTTTAACGTATTCAACCTCAATAATTTAATCTGTGGAAATTTCTTAGCCACTTTAAAGGAACATTAAATAAATAATTCCCTTGAACTTCTCTCCTTTATTTTATATTTTCTAATTCATTACATTTTAATGTTAGTCTCTTTTTTTACCATGACTAGCAGAAATAAGTCAATAAATTTTGTGCTCCGAATAGGAAATTAGTCTCGAGTTCAACCAAATTTATTCAATAAAGAATTTTAATTGCTCTCTAATTGTTGGTCTCTGGCTTATCTGTTGATTCATTTGACATGCATCATACACGTACATTTATACATACATACATATGTATGTACATATCTGAACATGCACTTGTACTGTTTTTCACATCATTCTCATCTCTGTAACCCGAACGATTGCATTTAGATTAGTTTTATAAACATTTGTATTTATTTACATATGTACATATTTATATGTACAAATACTCTTAGTTTTTTGCACAAACAATATTCTGGTCTATTACAAAAGAAACGTTCATCTTTCCCGTTCGGTCAGTTTTTGCTTTGTTTTTCGACATTTGAAAGTTTTTCAATAAATGGGTGTTTGTTTACTTACCGATCAGCAACAATAAACACTTTTCCGAGCTAACGCCAACACGAGACGAATAAATCAAACAAAATAATTGTTTAAAAGTGACAAAGGCAGACTGGGAACTGATCTTCTCAGCCTCATGGGAGGCCCCAACGGAGAGTCACTCGAAGTGGGGCGAAAGCACTCAAACAGCGAGCATGAAGCAACTATAAAGGAGGGCCCGTCGGCTTTTTTGAGGAAAACGTAGCAATGCTGTCAATAAGTGCGAGTAGACGGGGCTCTCGCTGTAAGTGTGAGCGAAACGACAATGGAGTGAGCGCCTCAAGCACTGAGCTCAGAGGAAAATGACCCGAGGAACGCTGCCGACGACGGGCCCTCCTTTATAGTTGCTTCATGACAGCGAGCAGAACAAAGGTGTTTTATCATAAGGTGGAAACTCTCCCACAGTTCTCTCCGACTAAAGTGTGTTTATTTTATTAAGGGATGTTGTTATATTTACGATGGGTACTATTCGCACTGCGTTAAAATCAAACCAAAAACTACTTATTATATAAAATTTAAAACAATTCTTTAAAAAAAATTCCACAAAATAAAGTTCTTTGCTTTGTTTACACGAAACATGTTACATTTTATATAATTTTCTAATATTATACAATTCTCTCAGAGTGACGGAAAAGGAAAACGATCACCCTGAATAAATACCCCTTGGCGCAGAACATTAGTCGAGCACCTCTCAGCGATTATCATTTTGGAGGCAATCAGAAAGCCCCCAACGCTCTCTTTTTAGTAGCTAAAGCTCTTTATCTTTCGCTCTCTCCCTCTCTCTGCCTGTGTCTCTGTGCATGGGCTAACTGTAGTCGGCTGCGTCGTCGTTGTCCGTTGTCTCTGATTATTTGAACTTCACGCGTCGCTGACAACGTGCGCGTTTTCTGGCGGTGAGAAATGCTGCTACTTGCGATCGTAAATTATTCAACTAAAAAGAGTTTGACGGGCTTCGAAGGAAACGCAATCAACAAGTTATCTAAAAATCGCTGTCAATGTGAATTGCAAAGTGCAGAGTGTAAATTTCCCTAGTTCTCAGCTAGTGACAAGTGCTATTCTCAGCTGACAAACAACTTTAATTTTGAAAACCCACGAAAACAAAGCCGACACAACTGTAAATATCATTCGTCATTTCATTGTGTTTACATAAGTAATCAGCAAAATTTCGAGGGCTGCGAATTAGAAAACGAAACGAAAAATGCAGTGAATAGAATAACAAACATCATGAAGTGGAATATCTGAATTACGCTTATTTAGGCTTTGGGTTCGTTCACTCCCTTGCCCTTGATTGCTGTTTCGCTCTCTCCGTTTCGCTACACTCTTTCTGACTCAGCAGCCGGCTTCACGTGCTGGCAGACAACACCAGCAACAAGAAACTAAATCGAACTTTGAGGGCCGAGTCTTTGCATACCCTTGCGGATTGCTCTTTTCCATGAGCTGAATTTGCTGACTGCATTGTCTACAGAAGCAAAGATTTTCTCACCAGACCAAAAAAATACAGATGTTAATTGTATTTTCGAAAAATACTTTATGCACTGTGTCACATACATATTGTCAAAGTTAGTTTACCCTCTGCCAGGGTATAACAAAAACAGAGTGCAAGCACCATCTGCAGCAGATGCAAAGAGAGCGCTAATCACGCTCATTACGCACTCGGAGAGTCAAACCTGTTAATGCACGTTCTCTCTTCTATTAGTCGCTGGGATTTTTGTGCTTTTCTTTTGGTATTTTGCATTTTTTATTGCAATTACCGCTAGCACAGAGCCGAGGCAGTGTGGGAGAAGTTCATGCAAATTCGATTTGGTCAGCTCTTTCCCCCAACAGCCATGATATAGGTTTATATTTCCTATTTCTCTGATACTAAAAATAACAATGGAAAATATGCCAAGAGCATTAGAAGCCCCCACGAGCACGTTCGGCTCTCAGTTCGTCCCTGCCTGCCCCATAAATAAAATGTTATAAATGGAAATTAAATGAAACCTAAATAGGAATGAAAACACGAACAAATCAAAGAGCAACTGTCAACAATAAATTCATTTCGAAATCTGCTTTTCAAGGCCTGCAAGGTTGGGTGGCATGGGAGAAAGTAAGAGAGTGCTCCGGTACTCCAGACGCACGTATTTTTTATCAATACTCAATGGGAATTAGTCTGAACAGTATTCTAGTACTGTCTACGATATAATAACGCATTGATTATTTCTTATGAGAGCATGTACATACACATATGTATGTACATAAATGAGTAACCAGTACATTGAAATCTCTTTTGTGGGAGAAGTGAGTCCAACAGAGCTTGCAAAAGCATTCCGAAGGAAAACTCCAGCCGGTAGACTTAATTGCCACAATTGTCGTGAGTCTTATCAAACTGAAAAGAAAGCGATATTGAATTCCAACAGATCATCAGCCCAAGATACCCCTCTCGTCGCTGATTAGATCTATCAAGGCTTATCTTATCGTGTAGGTTTATCGAGAGACGCCAGGCAAATACGTCCACACACATACTATACTTCTGCATGTACATGTCAATATATGTACATATGTATGTATGTTTGTACATATGTATTCTGCAAGTGCCAGCACCTCAATAAAATTGTGCCTCCACTCTAGCCTACTCTGGAAAAAGTTTTTTCACTCTCGGGAAAAACTGTCTCTTAGACGACTGGAAGTTCGGGATAGGAAGTAGAGTGGAGTTGAACCATGTTTTACTATGTGTGTGTCCGTGTATCTGTGAAGTGGGCACCAACGGCACCAGCAACGCTGTTGCCGCATTGACAACCCCAATGTTGGAAACGTATGGCTTATCGCAACTTAAGTGCCCCAAGGCAGTGGAGCAACAAATGTGTGCGACCACATACTCGTTCATAAAAGAAGCAAAACGATAAAAAATTGAATCAGCAGCAGCAATAAGAGGCCCAGAAACATAACCGCTACACACACTCTAACAACCAATTATCGCTGATAAAAATTCAAACAAAGGTTGTAAAGAAACTGTCAGCGAATCGACTCATGTGCACATTATCACACGATGCCACCGAAGGGCCCAGATATTATGTTGCTTTTTTAAGTAGTTCACTCCCTGGAGTTCGGAACAAGTAAACTAGGTTACAGGCAATGTACATATAATAATCCCCGAGTATACAGAAGAACATGCAATACATATTCCTAAAGAACTTATTCTTTAAAAGTAGTTCTTTCCAGAGATCTTATTCAATGATATTTTAATTGAATGCTTCCCACGGATCATTTCCAGCAAGACATTGCTGTAGGTCTACTTTTGAGGTTCCTATCCTAGAAAAGGAAACCCAAAGACAACCTGAGTAGGCCGTAAAGTTTCTAGGCATATTTCATTGAATCATACATTTAAACATTAAAACATTTCCACAGGATATGAGCTGGGAGCGGCGCCAATGTACGAAGTAGAAGTAGATTGATTTCATTTGACAGATGCCGGGGCGTAGTACGCACACTAATTATGATAAATGTGTTGCTCACATTGTGTTAACTAAACAAAGGCTGATACAGATACATGAACACGCACAACACACATACACACAGAAAATACTAACAAAGAGCACCGCAAAACCAAAACCAAAGACCAAAGACCGAGACCATGTCAAAATATCAAAAGCTCGACAGCGCCCAGGCCCCCACGTCAAATGAAGATGATTACGATGAGAGTTTCTCGCTTTACTTTGATGGTAATCAGCCTCAGTCGGGTGCAGAGCAGGAGCTTCATGACTTCAGACAGCCTGCCAGGGGAGCCTCTCATCTGACCAATCATAGTCCCAAATACCAACAACACCATCCCCACCACCAGCAACAGCACCAGCACCACCACCTCAACAACAACAATAGCCTCGAAAGCAGCCATCGAGTGGCAGGAATAGGAAGTAAAGCTATCCGGGATCTGGACGAGCAGACGTGGGAAGTGCCGCTGCTGGGCAGCAGCGAAGGAAGTGCCAGCAATCTGGTGAGCAACACTTAATTGTTAATAATTAAAGCAGTAACCGAAAGAGCAGTTAGGCGCCCTCTGTGGTATGCAACGAAAGTGCTCCATGCCCTCTTTATATGCATAGATACAAAGGCAGAGATACAGATACTCAAACTCGCGTACAGCTGGGATCACCATTATAGCTACAGATTTTTGCGTGGCATACAATTTTTTAGCACAAGTCGCAATCGAATCTCTTTTCTTCATAAGTTCACACATTTGATTGCAAAGGAATTTAAGATTGAAATTAGTTTGAATAATATATTCAACTTTTTTTCGCTGATCTTCCTTAAACTTGAGGATTGATTATAATTGATTTTAATTAATGAAATAATATTCATTTGACAGTCTAGACATGTCCCATAGGGAAAGGATTGTGGAAAATTCGAATTCAGTGTGTCTTATTTTACATACATGCATCCAGATGTACATACATTTGTGTGTATGCATGCACATGGTACATATATAGCTATATAGGATCCCATGTACATATATGGGGTATCTTGCTCCACTAATTTGTAGACCGCACCTGTAGACACACACGTTCATATTTATAAGCAATTTGCGCGGTCACTTGCAGCACTCGGAGCACGAGCATGACACTGCAGCGCGAATGGAATTTGAGATGGAGATGGGGGCGGACAGGGAATGCCGCAGCTCCCAGCCGGGATTTGGGGCGAACCTAAAGAGCAAATCGGCACAGGAGGCCAAATTTAAAATTCTGCTCGCAATTTCTCTCTGCTGCATATTCATGGTGAGTGCTCGGACGCGGACACGGACACGGACACGGACACGGACACGGACATCGTTACGCACATACAAATACCTCCTTTGGCTTGTGTGCGGGAGTGCCCATTGTTGATTTAATTATGATAAATTTCATTCCCCACGACAACATCAACTACGATGCTCCACGATAACCACACTTGATGGCAATGACCGCAGATCATTGAATTCCTTGGCGGGTACGTGGCCGGAAGCCTGGCCATTATGACCGATGCCGCCCATTTGGCAACTGATTGTATTAGTTTCGTCATCGGACTGGTTGCAATTTGGTTGGGCAGTCGACCGCCGGACGAGCGCATGTCCTTTGGATACAAACGCTATGGTAAGTACCCAATAAGGGTCGACACTATGCTAATGAGTGGACAACTTGTTGTCGGATTGTTGTTGCCGCACAGACACAGGTGCAGTCGCGTGGTGAGCCAGACCCACCCATTTAATCCTTCAGAAATCCTCTGCTGTCATTGGAGACCCTTCACCTAAGCTGGTTGACGGTTTGAAGTATGGCCCACAATAATTGCATTTATGTCAAATCCATCTGCCTGCCATTGGACCAAGCCCCAACTGTGCGCGAACCTGGCCAGTTCTCAACACCATTTTCATGATGATTCACTATTCTCGATTTTCAGAAGTTATCGGTGCCCTGGCCTCCATCCTGGGCATCTGGCTACTGACTGGCATACTCGTTGTGGTTGCCATTCAACGGATCTATTCCCAGGACTTTGAGCTGGATGTGAATGTAATGATGGCCATATCAGGGATTGGCATTGCCATCAATATTGTGTGAGTTGTTTAAAGGAACAGTTAACAGTTATGTTCGTATTAATCAGCAAGTCAATAACTAAGAACCTTATGCTGCGTTCTCCCCTAAAATTACACTTTAATTTGTTACCATCGACGTATTTCCAGCATGATGTTCGTTTTGCATGGGTCCTGGTTGGGCATAGGCGGCCATGGACATAGTCACGGACACGGCCATGGGCACGGGCACGGACATGGGCATAGCAACAGCCACAGCCACTCCGACTCCAGCTCCAACTCCCATTCGGGTTCCTACGCGCTCATTGCCGCAGGCAGCGAAAGCTCTTTGATGGCGACGACAGCCACCGATTCGAGAGCAACAATTCCAAATGGCCATAATGTGGCTATATCAAATGGCTCGAAGCCATTCGAGCGCATCGGGACAGGGGAGAGGCCTAAGCATGAAGGGTAAATATTGATTTAAATGGCATTCACTTTCTGAAACTGCAAGCGCAACTGAAACTGCAACTGCAACAGCAACAGCAATTGGCCAGCGGTGTTTGAATTCGAGTTAGCAATAACATTCGTGGTTGATGGGGATGAACCTTTTCCGGACAGTGCGGTTTGCTGCCAATTGTTTGTTTTATTGCAAGTGATTCCAATTTAATTCAGTTGACAGCTGCTGTAATTGAAACTGCCTTAACTCTAATACGATTCGCATTCGCATACCAACAGCCAAGAGATGAACCCTCCTCCGCAGGCCTTGGTCATCGAGGAGAACCTGAACCTGCGAGCGGCGATGATTCATGTGATTGGCGATCTGGTGCAGAGCATTGGCGTCTTTCTGGCCGCCGTCCTAATCAAATTCCGCGTGAGTTCTTGCCCCCTGTCTAGACGACAAGTCAATTAATGCACACGCCTAGACTGTTCTCTACTAATTCAATTTGCGACCCGTGCAGCCCGGCGCCAAGTATGCGGATCCACTGTGCACGCTACTTTTCTCAGTGATTGTGATTCTGACGACGGTGCCGCTTTTCCGGGAGTCAGTCGCCATCCTGCTCGACGCAGTGCCACATACCATATCTCTGCGCACTCTGCAGCGGGAGCTAGCCAGCATCGAGGGAGTGAGGTGAGTGTCCTGGGAGCAGGAGAAGAACGATAGCGGCATATCATTTACTCTTGGCTTATCCACCCTTCACAGATCGGTGCATCATCTGAATGTGTGGCAGCACACCGCAGAGCACCGGATACTCATGGTGCATCTTGTCACAGGTAAGTCTGCCCCCAAACGCTAGGACAACCCCACCTGATTCAATTTCCCACACATCCTTTGCAGAGGCAAGGAGCAACAGCGAGGACATCCTGCAGTTGGCCACGCAACTTGTCGGCGGTCCCGAGTACCACATGAAGCATGCTACAATCCAAATCGAACGTCTGACTGCCTAGTTTAACAGAAAATTTTGCGATTCGCGTGCCTAGGTTATAGCTACAATTTTATGAACCACCAAAGTCTCAGTGCCACATTATCGAAGGCATTTTGTGATTTCACCCACTCGTGTATTAAGTTTTATTTTATGTATAGCGTATCACCTTTGAGAACTGTGTTTTAATGGCCTCCAGATAAAACATTTTATTAATTTATTTTCTTTTTTTCGCCCCACGGCAGAGGCAGAACAAGACATTTTGCAATACAATACTTGAGTAACATAATTGTGCTGACAATTTATACAATAATGCTCTAAAAGGGATTGGAAAGCCGTTTGTTCTTAAGAACTTTCCAGTTCCAGCTTCCAATTAAATGTTGAATGTGTGTGCTTCTGCCATGCATAAGAAACAATCGATGAATGTCTGCCTCATGGGGCACAGTGCTCCCATTAAAGCTCTGTTCGTAAGCCAAATTTCATGTTTTATTGTTTAATGTTGGACCAGTCGGAAGGCACAAGCTCTGTAAAATGTTGAAGGGGAAAATAATTGAAATTTCTCTGAGGCTGAGTGTGGTTAAAATTTGAGTTACGTGCAAGTAAGTATGAAGAGCAACTCGACGAAATATGAAATGAAATTAAAACAACCCGCTTTTATACACGCGTGGTGGCAAGGCCAAGTCAGTCCTACGTGGACTCTGTGCTCGTAATTAATTAGAACTTGCTGCATCAGCAGATGGAAAGTCTGCGCATGTTTAGCCTCCTATTTGGCTGTCTAATTGATTCCTTATCTGTTGCTTTCGTTTTAATTAGAAAGCAGCAACATCAAAGGCAGCGGGAGAAATTATTAGGTAATCAAATTGGTTGGAACTCGTACAGGGATTTACAGGGCGTCTACTCAATGAAGTAACGAAATTCAATGTTAATTTACTGCTGCAACCGATTAGGGTCATAAAGTCAGCAACTGTTATATGCATAAACTCATACTCATAATAATGGTAAGGTCTGATTTATGCGAGTATGATTAATTTGGAATAACATTTTAGCTTGTTTGTACACTCGATATTTATTTATGCATGTAAATACATACATACTCGTATACCTACATAAGTATGTATGTATATACAATAATTACCTTGGCTACTAATTGTTGTTTTAATAATTCATTTGCTTAGTGGCCAGCTCACAGAAATGCACAACATTTGTCGCATGCGAGTCTGGCCATAATTCATACAAACATTCACATACATATGAACGTAAGTATGTATCGGACAAGCATACAAATCCGATTAGAATATCGCTTGCCAATAAACACCCACGCACACATGGACCATGTACATACTCCCCAATTGGATTTCAGTGAACCGGAAATGAGCAAATCAAGCACACTGAGAGGAAGCAAGAGAGAGATGGAGAAGGGGAAAGAGCTAACCAGAAAATATCGCATAACTACTTATACTACTATAATGTTAACACATGAGTGAAGTCAAGTTGAAGCATCTTAATCAACTTAGAGGACACAGGACACAGGGCCAGGCCGAGCCACGTCAACTCGAACTCTCTGGAATCCTCTCAAGATCCCGAAAGTGAGATTCGGTGCCGGTTCGGTCACAGGCCTCAACCGGGCCTCAACGAACCTCACGGTTCAATACGCTCGGACACGATTAAGTTATTTATAATTTATGGGAGTGGAAACCAAATTTCCATTTCACTGCCAAACAAATTGTGTTAAAATGATGGAAAGATGCGACAGGAAAACCCATAAGAACCAGGCCCCGCTTAAGCTGTAAATCAACTGATTGAAAGTGGTTCTGGTACTGGTCCTACTGGGATGGTGAAACTCCATCACACACACACAAAAGAGTTCGATTCATTCGATTGCTGACCCCATTGCCTGTTTCAGAGAAGCTTTGCAACTAATTAATACGGCCACAAAAAGTAAAACGAGAGTGAAGAGTGAGAGGAAGAGAGAGAGAGAGAGACTCGGAATTGCAGTCAAGTACTTCGCCCATTTCTCAAGTGGCTAGCGGGGGGTCGTGGCGCACTTGAAATGCGCAAATGTAAAATTAATGGCATACTTCACTTGATGCTTTTCTAATTAGAAATGCATATAACAAAAATCGGAGCACGCTTTTGAGAGTAGGAGCGGGATACACGGCAGAAAGAAAATGCTTAAAAATTTGTTCTCGAGTACTCCGATGCCACTTTACAGACACAGTGTGATGGTGAGAGCAAGAGAAAGTGGAAGAGCGGCAGAGTAATTGGAGTGCCTTTGCACGTGCCCGACAGCCGTTGGTCCTGAAGATCTCAGCGTTGGGGTAGCGAAAGGTTACCCGAAATGCAACCCGTTGAATGGTGATTTCTGCTTTAAAGACGAGCACACTTCACTCTTCATCTTTTATTTAATCTCTTAGTTTAGGATTTTTAACACATAAATGCTTCTTAACGATCTGATAAGTGTTAAAAGAGAAAATACACATTGTACTCTAGCTATGTTACACTTCAACTTAACGACAGTCGCAACGGAAATCGCCAAAAAGTGCCACCAATCTTCGAGTATTGTTCTTAACATATAGGGAGCTCGACATTTTATTTGAAGTTTGAGCAAGGCTTATATACATTACATCAAAATAATATAAATAAGGGGGGGAGTCGCAGATAGATCGCAGATAGTTCCTATCAAACTTCAAGGCAATATCTTTTTTCATCCGTTTTAAGTTCAAGTTAGTTTAAGCGAGGCGAATTGCCGGATCTGTTTGCGGAGCTGAGCCGCGTACTGCCGTAAACATACGAGTTCATTGAGTTGTCCAAACGGTCCCTTCGACTGATGTCAGAATAATTCCGGCGAATAGATGGCGAGTCTGAAAAAATATCAAAAGCATGTCATAGCTCATGGCATCAATCATTATTTGGAATTTAATCAATCCACAACTTACTGTCAAATGAATTAGGACTTGCAGTGGGACTGTTTTTGGATTTCTGCACCTGGAAAACTGTTAGAAAAAATGGGGTTTAAAACATAGGAAGCAAAATCAAAATTCCCGGGAATTCGGGTTTCCCTGACACATTTATCCTAGGGAGCAGCATCGATACCCGCATTTGTGCCGACCTAAGCAACACCCAAGCATGTAATTAGTCCTTGTAGCCTGATAGTTACTTGGGTATGGGAGGAGACGGCATTGGGCATTTTTGCCAGCACTGGGCGAAACAACAAATAATTTAGCTATTAGTGTGAAACAACAAATAATTTAGCTATTAAAATTAGTGTGAAAATTACGTGCAGGGCAGCCACTGGTCGCGGTACGCGAGTGGGTCGACTTACTGACCTCGCAAACCCCTCATTATGGGGGAGTGAGGGCTGGGAGAAATCCTGAGTAATTAGACTAATTTCGTAATTAAGGTAATTCGAGAGTGCGCAATGCAGGGTCCCTCCGTTGAGGAGAAAGCTGACAAAAAGCAACCGACCCCCGAGCGCAAAGGCTTCCAGAGGAAAACCTTTGAACTGTAGAATATTATATCTAGATTAGATAGATTTCTGGACAGAGTGCAGTCTCCGACCGGCAGCCTTTGGGGTCGCTATTGAGTGCTTTGCGTTTAAATGAGCTGCCTGTGATGATTAGCACGCTTTCAGTGGATGCATCAGCAGGCAGCGCCTTTCTGTGGGTCGCTCTGCAGTTTCATCACGATGGGCGCGACCAGAAAAAATTGCTTGAAAATCAAAGTTCAAGTCATAAATAAGAAATTCTGTAAATGCTGCCAACGCTGCTGATGATGATGATAGTGCAAAGACGGCGCCTTTTATCGCTCGGGTTGCCATCGCTGGAGCTGCCCGAAACTTTTTGGTATTCATGCACGAAATGACTAAAAACTTGAAACTAATAGAGAAGTGTAGCCAAAGTTGTGCGTGGCTGCTGCTGCCTGGCTGTCCGCCCGTCCACCCGCCCGCATGCCTGGCTGCATGGCCTCCGTCCCCAGCTGGAGCTACTTCTCCTCCAGATGCTCCTCCTCCTGCCGCTGCCGCTGCTGCTGCTAGCCCGGGGGCTGTGCGCACTCAAAATTATTAATTAAACTTACCCTCAGAGTTGACTTGCGTGACGCCCTGCGATTGAAAGCAAGCCATGTACACTGCAATGGAGACAGAGAGAAAAGATAGAGAGTGAGTAAGAGAATAGCTCCGTAAAAAAAATAAATAAAAGTTTTGGCGATATATACGCGCAGCGTCATTCTATGGACCCCCATGCATGGGAGATGCAATTAATCAAGGATGTAGTCTGCTTTTGCTTTTGCTGTTGCCTGCTACTTGGCCGGGGTTGTTTACGCACCCTCTGACAGGGTGTGGGTGGGAGGACTGTCCTGTCCCAAGTCAAACAGAACCGAAACTTCTTATCAGTTTTGGGAGTTTGGCAAGCGAACAAGGTAAGCGCCAAGCCAAGCTGGTTAGCCATGACTCTTTTTATTTGGTTTTTTGTTGTCTTGTGTTGTGTTTTGTTGTGTTTCTCACTTTTTTATTAGGTGTAAAGTGTTTTCGAAGCGATAACACAAAACTATCAGAACCCGCCCACTGCACCACCACACCCCGCGGGGCTGGGCCAGAAGTACATACATTGAAAAATGGCAAAAGAGCGAGTCCTAAAAGGGAAAACTTTGCCACAACTTTCGGACCCCAGACTCAGCTCGATTGCCGTACTGTCTGCTGCTGCTGCTGCGCGTGTAAAAATGCAGGAAAATGGCCAAGGTTTAACCAAGCGATGTCCCAAACGCAGGACACAGGTTGCGTCAGCACTGAAAAGGTCTGCATCAAAGGATAGCCCTCAAAGATACCACGCTCTATCTGGCCCTCAGCTCCAACTCAAGATATTCTTCCTTTTCCGTTTCCTCCAGCGAGGGGCTGATTAAAAATGCATGGAATTCGCGATTAACTGCAAACAACCGCAACAACAGCAGCAGCGGCATCAGCACCAAAAGCAACAGCAACAGAAACAGACACAGAAACTTCAGACTCCAAGTTCAGTCTCAGTCCAGTGTTTCCTATGATTTATGATGTTGCGGCTCTAACAGAGCCAAGCCAGCCCGGGCCGAATTTAGTTTTAAGCATAATTTACTCGGTCAATAGAACTAACAATATTATTTAGTTATAGTCACCCCAACTCGAGATGATTACAATCACAGTCGTGGTGAGGAGGAATCCAATATTCTCTACCAGACAATAAACCAGAGGTCCGCGCACTTCTGGCTCAGCATTGTGCTGCCCTCAATGGGTACCTGTAATGACAAACAAGCAAACGGAATTATAAGCAGACATAATGCTAATCCTTGACCGCACAGTGCAATCCACTACTAATCATCTTTAAATTCTGTATCAGAAGTAAGCTGCAGGCGATGCGGGCAGCAGCATCTGCAGGATACTTTTGCTGCTCTCCGAATGACCCAACAAGCGTTCTATCGACTTATGGGCCAAAATTTATTGGCAGTTCAGTGTCCCCCAGCGTTGGATGCCACAATAGCCAGGACACAGCCCCAAAGCTTACGATTCTGCCTTTGTTTATAGGCAAAACGGTTGCAGATACCGTTTATAGGTCGAGAAGAGCAGAAATTATGTAATTTCGGCAAAGCTTGAGCAAGACAGACGTCATTCCGCTGCCATTGCTTTTGCTGTTGCAGTTGCTCTTGCTGCTCCTGCTGCTTCTTCTGCCTTTTGTTCGGCCAGTTGCAATGACCATTCTCGGGGTGCATAAGCGAAACTTATTTATTCGATTCCGCTGTCTTCCCCCGAAAAGACCATTTGTATTTCCCTTCGAGGCGCCACCAAAGGAGGGGAAAACAAGTTTCCGCAACAACAAATTGATACGCGGCTGGCTATCAACGTGTTTGCACTATCTAATGGCATCAGGTAGCGAATGAGAAATGGTCATGGCAAGGTAGTGGCAACGAAGTATTTACATTTGTGCTTTTCTCTGCTGCAACTGCTACCACGACCGTTGCCAGTTGCAAGAGAGACAGAGCGGACACGAAAATGTACCAAATTGAAAACACGCAGCACAGACAAAACACAACAGAATGCTTTGAATTGTATAGTCCAGTCCCCGACTAGCGGATACTCGCTGAGGAGAAGACCCATGGACCCTTTATAGATTTTGATAGCTGTGCTACAGAATTTTTAGTTTTATTTTTCTTTAAGCTATGACGACATTCCGCTTCTAGGGTCTGACGTCATGTCCCCGTCCCTTCCGCTCTGACTGTTACATCTATTCGCGAAAAGAATATGCCCAAAATAACCAAGGAACAGGCATACATACCCAAGCGAAGACCAAGCATTTTTTTCTCTTGGTGAAATATTACCAAATCGTTATCCTGTTGTCTGGTATCTTTGGCACAACACTTTACAGGAACGAACTATGTATTCGTTAACTCTCTCTCCCAGTCTATTGTTTTGCAATAAAAGATTCTGATTCAACAGCGCTGGAGTCAGGGCTGGAGTTTTAACATATAGTACCTCAATGAACTGCTCCGTTACCGGGGAATCGATTAGTATGTAAGAGTCAAGGATGTCCACAGAAAAGTGTTTGCTGTTCGCTGGTTTGACCTAGCCATGGATTAAATTCATTTATTTTATTAATTTAAATTTAGATTATCGATTAAACATGAGTGTGAGCGCAGAAAGGATATATGCATATTTGTTTATTATGGTTTCCTATTCAACATGTTTCCTTTCCCCAATTTCCACGCTAAAAGCTTCCAAGGAAATACAATAAGCACTCATTAGCATCCAACACAAAGAAGAGTGGGCTGGACGACCTCTGATAACAACTGTGGGAGAGGGGGGATTGCATTGTAGTGAAATGAATTTTGATATCTGAATGTGCTGCAAAATCATTTAATTAAAAATAAAATCTCAAATAAATGTCACCCACAAAGAACACACTTTTGTGTGCATTTGGTTGAAACTTGAAATATAAATTGCATGTTGAACACGGATTCGGTTTCAGGCAAACACAGGTCCTCTATGACCGGGGGACAGTCGGACAGGGGGACCATTGGCGGACCATCTCAAAATTGTTACTTTGCCACCTGCTAGGCAAAAGAACAGACAAGTATCTTTTTCAATTGATAATATTTGCCCAACACTCTCAACTCTCTCAACGAAAGGCTGCTGGCAGGCAGCACTACAATTTCAGCCTTGAATAAACATTTAAATCAAATTTCATTTGCAAAAAGTAAGCTCATCAACAAGTATCTGCGCTTCTTGCAGCATTTTGTGGCATCAAATCAAGAGAGAAAGTAAATACATGGCTACACTAACTGAACTTTAATCTATTTTCACACAAACAAACGCATCTGTTTGTACATTTCTGCTACATTTGAATTAATAATATCTGAAATTAATTATTCAGTCTGCAGAACATTCAGTGGGGCAGTAGTGGCTCGACTTTGCAATTCCCTGACCTTCGAAAAAGCTCATAAATCATGGGATTATTTTTAAAATCTATTGTTACTTTGAAGTAATTGCCAATTGGTAAAAGTTTTTTTGTGTTAATTAACTCTTTAAATGCAAAACTTTAATTAAGGGAGAAACAATTTCTAGGACGTGTGACATGGAAGACGTTTACCAACTTCATATTGGGAGAATCAATGTCCTTCAATGATTGAGAACTCGATGAGTTGAGAACTGGATGATTGTAAATGGCAAACTTGCACTTTTACATTTGCTATTCATTATGCTCATTCCAATATGCCCTTGAGTCCCCAACAATGCATAGGTAGGAAAAGGCAAAAAAAAAAAGTGAAATAAGTTATTACGGCAACGGATGTGAATCGAGAACAACTGCTGACATCCGAACAAGCCCCACATATCCACACATGCACTGGCCACATTTATATTATATTAATGCATAATAATAAGTACTTGAAAAAAATATCAACATTGTTAATAAACGGAAGTGTCGGCACATCGACAGCCAGAGCAACTACGGAACTCGCGAAAAAGCTCCTTATTAGTCCATCGATAATACACGAAAGGGAATATTGAATAATTAATTTTAAATTATGCAGACCAATGTATTTTTTATGAAACCCATCGACGCATCTGAGTGCGTGAGTGAGTGCATGCCGGGCGTGGGGGAGTGCGGTCACACACAGTCGTCTGTTTGAGAATGCGAATTTTAATAAAATGTGCCGAGAGCACTGAAATTGACAGCCACATAATTTGTCTTCTGCGGTCTGTCTCCTGTGCGGGTGTGCCGAAGCTGATGACGCTGCCTGTTCGGTGCATCAACTTTAAAAATAATTAATTAATAATAATCAAGACCAAACCATTTCAAGCAGTGTTATCAGCGATCAGCGCTGTCGTGGCGGAGGAGAGAACAGCAGGATTAGTGAACGGACGGACGGATGGACGGACCACTTGCGAGTTGCATGCCCCCGATTCTCAGATGAGTACTGCACCAATAAAATGCTCAATTGCACCAGAGACAAACAGAGGGACAAAACACAGGCAGCTCAAACAATGCAGAGCACCCACCACCACCCGAATGCCCGAACGGACAATGGCCATTGCATCTCGATGACAGCTGCTAAGCGCCCATCCACTCCCAGTGGCCACTCCAGAACAAACATTCAAGTTGCAGTTGATGCTCTTTGAGTGGCGAACTGAGCATTCAAGTGCCAATCACCACCACCAGCCAGCCCCTCTTCACCCCTCAGCCAGATCACTAGGCTACATTCAAGTCACAAATTTCCCAGAGTCAGCTGCATTAATGTTGATGTTGCTGTTGCTCGGGCTTGTCCGAAAATGCAAATTATCTTGAATATCTCAAATGGCCACTTTACTGTAATTAGAGTTGCTGCAAATGCAGCTAATATTTTACTGAATGCCAGGGCAAATAAAGCCTCAAGCTAGCCGGAAACGGAAGTCAAGCAAAATGCTGTCATTTTGCATTTTTCAGACAAGGGCGAGACGACTCGACTCTGCTCTGCACTGTCTTTCAAGGGTGGAGAAGGGTGGCTTTATGTGGCCTGGATGCCTGCTGCCTGTGGCTGCGCCTGCCTTGCATTGTCATTGCATTGCTGCCCCTCCTTCTTGTGCCAGTGTCTTGTCTCTTGCCGCTGTGGCTGCACCATCTACAACTTGCGGCGATTCTTGCGGCCCAACAACAGTGGCAACAATGGATGGTTGCCCAGCTGCCTGGCTGCATGGCCGCCAAGGACAGACAGTTCATGAGCAGGAACTTTTAAATTCATGGAACAGTATTCGGCTGGTCTGTCCCTTCGCTCCGTTGAATTCGAAGAGCACGCTCAGCGCTTGTCTTACATAATATTGTACTTTGAAGAAGCCGCCAGTGCCACTGGCGATGGCAGTGGCTGGAAACATCACTGGAGTACATTGTAAAGCAATTTCCTGTATTTTATTACCGTACAGAGTGCGAGAGCGAGTGCGAGTGGGAGACTCTTTCGGTCTCCTCCTACTTGAACTTATGATTGTCTCGCAAATAAGAGCAAAGTGCGTCATCTCAGAACAGCCCGAAGCATGTAGGGCGGGCATTGCTTCCTTTCATCCCACTCACCTGCAGCTTGTGCAGTGCCTTGTCCAGCCCACTAATATGCAGCTCCTGTGGCTTCAAATCGGTCACCTGCACCGATTCGGGCTTCACTTTAATGCCCGGCACCAATTTCAGTGACATGGTATCCAAAACGCCGCTGGGCATCGCCGCCTGTGCACAGCAGAGTGAGGGTTAGAACTGAGGGTTTGGAAATAGTTTGAGTAAATTGCTGTGTTGCCAAAAACAATAAGAACGAGCACTCACCTGCAGCTCTAAAAGGACATCGTTGGTCTTGACGACGGCAAGCAGCTCGACGAAGCTAGAGAGCAGCTCTAACCGACAGCTGCACTGACCGCTGCAGGCATCAAACATGGGCTGTGCCTTGTAGAGCTTCAGTAGCTGCCGGCCGAGAGCGTTCTTGGCCACCAAGCGACATGGAATGAGAGAGCGTTAGCAGGAGTTACTTTGAGGAGAGTGTGCATACCTGTCTGCATACCAGGTTCCTGCGATTCTAGGAACAGCAGCTGAACAGCGGAGGCGCTGGATAGAGGAGTTGTATATTTGCAGCAGGCACCTCCTCGCGCACCTCCAGATCGTACGTGAAGAAACCCCCTCGGTTGGCCTTATCGCCGCTGGTGATAGAAATCTTTTCACCCAGCTTGTGGCGATGGTTCAGCACGCGGGCACGCAATGCTTAAACAAAACACAAATTATGACAAAAATTAATGTTTTATTCTATCAAGTATGCTCCAAAGAGCAGTGCACGTTGCACGTTGCACATTGCAACGAGGCATAAATAATATTTAGGACTATAACTAGAAAGGCGCAGTGGCACGTGTCAGTAAGGACTCAAATGCCAAAACAAAAGGAGCCAATTTAAATTAATTTTTTACCGGAATAACACATTTCTACATGACACATAGCTTTGGGGCGGGGCGGCATTATGGACATACATTTGTGTGTATGCTCCAGCCTGATTATTATTCATTGTTTGATTGAAGTCAACTTTAAACAACAGCCTGACAACAGATGGCTAATTGTTTGGGGATTTACCCACTCAGGACACCCGCCTCCTTCCTCATGCCACACAAGAAGGGGGCTTTGATTTTGCACTTTTGTTCTCCTTTCCGCACCAACGACACAGCAACGACAACAGCAACAGAAACAACGACAACAAAAACAACTTAAACTAAAACTAATCTGCAGATGTGGAGGACATTGGCTGTATAAATTGCTTGGGGATCTCGTGTCGCTTCCCTGAACAAAGGCGAAATAGTCAATTGAAAATTGAAAAGGAAATAAATAATCGCTTTCCAATAAGGCTCATAAAACGAGAGGCATTAAAGGGGCACACGGCAAGCAGCAGGCGACATTCAGCGTCGAACTTAAATGGTTCAGCGACTGAGATGTACGGAGAAAAGCCTTCCTTAAGTAAAACACATGCTCCTACATTCGACTCTCCTTCTCTGAACTCCATTCGGGCACTCGTAGGGTGAACATATCTTGCAAATATTGCATTTTTAATTATTGTAATCGATATCATGTGTAGTTAAACTGTAATGAAATAATCCATATCATTCTTTAGTTTAAAGTGTGAAATTGTTAAAGATGTGGAATGTGGATCCTGATGCCCATACCGACAAGAGAACACAAACCGACTAAAAAGCTCCTCCTGTCCTGTCTGTTCCCTACAAACCAAACATACATAGTAGTACAATACGAGCACAATACATCCTTGCCAGCTACGAGTACCGGGTAGCTTCAAGTAACTGAACAAACAATGCTTAAATGGGAGGAACCTGATCCGATTTCAACTTCAGCAAACTTTTTATTTCGCCCCGAAGCAAAGTTTGGGTGTTCCCCGTCAACAAGTTAATGATTTAAGGCGAGGAAAGGAGAGGCGAGCACTGCCTCAGTGGAACCCCAAAGATGATGAAATTGTAATGATTCAATTTTTCAAAGCACTTCTGTACAAATGCGACAGCGTGGAATATCCCAGCTTAGACTTTTGGCAACAGTTCAGAATCAGATTTCAATACTGAATATAAGGCACGGATTCACTGTGCATCCGTCGCGGCTTGCTTTCGTATGTTTTCAGCGGAAGAAACGCCACTCGTTATATTATTTAGTTATTTTTCAGGCTCGTTTATAGCTGAAACTTTGTATGAGAAGTACATACATGTGAGGTAGGGAACTAGTACAGGAAGATACATCAAGGAATTTTTATTGGAAGAAAGTTTCAGACGTATTCACCTGGTAAGTTATTCTTCTTTATCTTTATGCTTGAGTGCAAGCTCCAGTTAAGAATAATAGTATTGAAAACAGTAACACAAGCCACACACCAAAATCACATCTCGGCATGCTTAAATTTGGTTGTCTGTTGGTTTTGTGTCTGTTAAATGTCTCCATTTTGTTTGTGGTTGGTTTGGGTGTTCGTCTGTTTGCCAATTCGCCAGCCTTTTGCCACCTTTTCTTTTTATACCCGGTACTCGAAGAGTAACTAGGGTATATTGAATTTTTGCGAATAACGGTTGTATTTAACGCACAGAAGGAAACGTTTCCGACCCCATAGAGTATATATATACTTGATCAGCGTCAATAGCCATTATTATGGCCACAATAAAGAAATTAATTTGCAGTGGCTAAACCCACCCCATCCCGCTGCTTATATTTGTTTTTTTGCACATTCTGTCATTCACACTCAGCTTTGCGCAGTGCCGTGGCTCTATGGGAGGGAGGCGAGCTAAAGGAGCCTGTTGGGGTAAGTAGTGTTGTTGATGTAGATGACAGATGAAGAAAAAATGTAAACAAAAAACCGCTAAGGTACAGATGTAGTACTGAGTACCGGGTATAAAAGTTGTGATGCGTAAGAAGCGTCTCACACGTCCCTTCTCGTTTATTTCTTGCTACGTGAAAAGTGTGAAAAATTGTATTTTCCTTTGCGCTTCTCCATTTGTTTGTTCCGTGGGTAAAAGTTGTCTTCCATGAATAATGTATTATGCTTAGCTGGCTTGCGTAGGGAATTTTGTCAAGGGGTTTACCCGTATTCCGGCAATGGCTCAACAAGAATTGTGAGCGTTTGTGGTAAGACTGCAGTAGCATTGCCACTGCCACTGGCCTAAGGACAACTGTGTGATGAGGATATCCCCAGCAAGCAAAGGAAAGAAAAAGGAATCTCGCACTAAACGCAAAGGAAATATTTCCCAGGGGATTCTTTCTCTGCCACTGTACTCGCATTAAAAATCTGTCCATGGGGGCGTAGGAACGTGATTCCTTTCTATCGTTCGAAACAAATTCCTCCTTCGACACAATATTCCCAACAATGAACTTGCACAAATATCCGTCAAAGATTTCCATTACGCTAACAATTCAGGTTTTTCAATTTTCGCACACTATTATATTTCAAGCGATCCACTGAAAGTGCGCACTTCGGCGAACCCAAATGGAATTGCAAATTCGTCGCATGCCATGGGAAAACTATGGAAATGTCAACGCGATTGCCAAGTAATTAATGCAAATTATTGCCAGAGAGTGATAATGGCCGGGTTTGGGAATCTAGCTTTCTCTATCTCCCTCCCTCTCTCTCTGTCTCTCTCTGGCTGTTATTCGGGGCTTAGTTGTTCCTAAACCAGACGAAAATAGGCCTAATTGGGTTATCAACAAATCGAACTTGAAATATAGGCCAATTTACAGGATTTGTGCGCGTGCAGCACTGTGCAAACAACGCTCTAAAATCCACAGCCGGCCAGTAAGGGCATGCATAAATTTGAAGCAATGAAAACTATATTCCAAACCACGAATTATCCGGCCATCAAATAAACATTCAAGTGACCATTTAAGATAGTTATCCCCAGTTATAATCATAATCATAATCGTAATCGTAATCATATTCAAAGTCAGAAAAGAGACATTCCAAACTGGGGGAAAAAGGGGAGTACAAACTACTCACCTGTGTGCTTATTAATCGTCACAATCTGCTCATTGGAGCTGCTCCAAATCGATGACAACGTTAGCGGTGAATCGAAGCAAATGATGTCGCCCACAGAGAATGGTCTGTGGATCCGATGGTTGGATGGTTGGTTTAAGGTTTAAGGTTAGTCAAAGGCGAAGGTTGACGCGGTGCATGTGATGTGCATGCGGTTGCAGCAGTCGAGAATTTGTGGGTTTTGCATGCAGTTGGGGAGACACAAGAAACCGGATTGAATTATGAGAAACGTTTAGCATTACTAAATAGATGTTCTGTCCTGTTGTCTGCACATCCTGTGGCGACATCTGCTGCACAATTAACTGCACAGCCAACTCACCTAGCTGGGGTAGATGTTCTTCGACTCAACCACGGACAGCTGGATATAGTCATCAGCATACTTAACGCCCGTTGTGTCCTTTAAACTGATGGAAATCATGTTGTTTGTCTCCCGTTGTAGCTGCACCTGTGTGTAAAGTGGGGAGAGTCGAGTGTGTATTCAATATTAATAATGTGTTTCACTCAAGACTGCCATTTGAATTTAATGCGAATGCGAATGCGAGTTGGAACAGGAATTTCCCTGGACAGGGAATATGCCTCCAGAGTGCTGCTTGTGGTCTTTCTGCTATGTGGTCACTCGCAACTTTTAAAAGCACCAAAAATCCGCCTGCCTCAGCCCGACCAGCGTTGGGCAGCATCATGTGCTGCATTTTTACGTGGAAACGTGCCATGCGGCCGGATTTTGAGATTTTTAGCGCACCTTCGTACACCTCGTACTCATCCGCAGGTGGCAAGGCAGCGGCCCTGTCTGTGTCTCTGTCTCTGACTCGAGCTCTGCGTTTATACAGTGCATTAAAATGCAGAGGATTTTTTGCCGCCAGAGCGTGGTGGGACACAGAAATAGAAATTGAAATAACTTGCCCCGAAAAACTTCAAGTTGAAATTTACATATAAACCACAAAAGTAAAGTCTTTCTCTTGGTCTATGGCTCTGCCTCCTCGGCCACGCTTGATCTCTCCACCAGGAGCCAGCAAATATGACAAGCGAAAAGTTTTCTGTGTTTTGTTTGGCATAAAACTTGCAGGAACCCACCCGTAACCGATTTATGTAAGTTCTATAAATGAACAGCATCTGCTGGACCCTTCCAGGACACTGAAATGGAAACTCACCGCAATTGTCAGATTATTGTCGATCTGAGCATGAACCACATCCTTCGTGGCCAGATCGTAGCGCAGCCCATTGGCGTCCTCTACGTTGTGCGAGAACTCGTTGCCCAGATTGTCCTGCAGCAGGAACAGAAAGTTCATGCCACGCGGGAGTTTGTGCTCGAGCTTCTTGAATTTCATGTGGGGCAACAGCGACACCAGGATGTACTGCACGTTTTTCACCTCAATGGCGATGGGCAGATTTTGGTCCACGGTTTCGGCCTGAACGCAACACAGGAAATGCAATTTAGCAATTTAGGAATTTCGAATTAAGCCGATTTTGGTTTTTGGGACACCAAATCACACACACATGAGTGGCAAGGGTACACAAGCAGCACACACACTCACTCACACACGAACACTTACAATTATCAGATCCCGGCCGAGGGTTTCCTTTGTGTGGACAATGCCATCTGGCGTCACGCTAACAATGCCGCTGCTCTGCTCATCCAGCTTATAGACCGCATCGACCATGTTGGACTTCAGCTGATGCGTGCTGCGGGGCGCCGCCAGAATTGAGTCCATTTTGATGGGCTTGGGTCCGAGCAGCTCCAGTGTTTTGAAAACTGCGATAACATTTTCAATTTGCGGTGCCATTGTCAGAAAGAGAAATGGAGAGGCAGTAGAGCTTCAGCCGAATGGGAACTTACCAATTAGCTCCACGCTGGTGGCGGGCAGCTTTGTGCCATCTGCCAGACTCACAGACGCTATGATTGTGACCTGGCCGGGATTCAATGCCCGCACACGAGCCGAGATTAGGTAGCCACTCTGGTACTCAATTCCTGTGGAAGAAACGACATTTAAGTGTTAAAATGTGGGACCAACAAATAGAGTCCAAAGATCAGACGACACACAAATTTGTGGTCAGTATCTGTTCCTGCACTGGAGCTCAACCGTGCAGGCTCATTCTACGTGCACTGGGTGGACATTGGGCTGAAATATTCTGGCCGCAATGACGTATCGGGGTACGCTAAATGTAAACGTAAATCGAAACTTATACATATTGAGTCTTATTGCGACACACAACCCACCCACTGCGATAACACACATTGAATATCTCGACAACATCCGGCTGACTCACTTTCCATGCGATCCGCAAGTTCTCCAGCGTTCCCAGCACCATGGACGAGAAGTCCGGGTGGCCCGGCGCGCAACCTCGATGGTGTCCTGCGATACGACTTCATCCCTGCCAGTGATGGGGTTCTTGAGCAGGCACTTTCCGATGATTTGGGTAGGTCCTAGTCGATGGGCCGTGACAGAGCTGATGGCTAAGTGAAAAATACGTGAGAAGATTTGGTGAATACGTGTCCGTAAAGGACCCTTCGATTGCTACCTACTCGAGTTGGTATTGGGCTGTGGACCGCCCTGGCAGTAGATCTGGATGCTGCTGCCCACCACGAGGCGGATCTGGGAAAAGACCTGGACAAGGACCCCTTGCCGGCCTGGAAGACTATCTTGGTCTTCCCGACATTGTTGCGGGTGATGCTGTACTGATGCGCTGCTCATCCAGACGCACGCCCATACGGCCGGATCAAAGACCACATCGGAAAGGTCGTAGACAGCCTGCTTGTTGGGATTTACGGCCAGTACATTGTCTTTGGTGTCGAAGAGTTGCACAATCGCTTCGATGGAGTTCACGCGCTCTGCCCGATCCATGCTGACCACACCGATGGAGTCGATGTTACCCACGGAGATGGACAGGACACACTGTTCCAGTTCAGTAGGCAGCTGTAGGTGAACTCGAGACGATGGCGATGCGTTCTCTGTGATTGGGGGCGAGGAAGACGCTGATGTGATCCTTCGGCAGCCGCGTACTATTCACCGTGTAGAACCTGATCTCGTTCTCAATCAATGGCGTGGTAATCCTACCCGTTTTCAGCTGAGTACGAGAAGTCAGTTAGCTGTGAGTTAGGAACTCCAAATGTGTATTGCCACTTACATTCTTGACCCCAAAGGGAGGGCGTTCCGCGTAAATGTCCTGTTGGGCCAGCATCTTGTCTTTGTAGCGGACCACTGCCGTGGAGGAGCTCCACTTCGGACAGCTGGCATCGCGGGAAGACGTCCTGCGAGATATTTTATGTATGTTAGTAATTTAAGGTTAAAGTGCCGGTCCGGTCGGTCAAGCCGTTCGGGTCGGGAAGCTAGCAAGCAATTTTAGGTTAAAATGCCGGTCAACTCACCATTTGCAGCAATTTCGTTCGTCCATTTGTAATGGAAGATCTTGGAAGATGGGTACGAGTAAGCGTTGGTGATTTAATTTGCCAGCGTAATTAGCATAATTGGCAAGTGATGCGATGCGGAAATTAGCGAAAAGAAAATCAAAACAATAATAATAATAAAATAAATGTACTGTGCAATGCTAGGGATGCGTTGTTGAAATATTTGTACTTATCGATATATCGGAATTCTTTGGAATTGTTCTATTGCACAATCGAATTGCGTTTAATTTACTTTAGATTTAATTGATGTTGTTAGCATATTCCCATGCCAGCGCCACTAACCAAATAGTATAGTTATATAGCGCCTACTTGCAGGATAGCTGGTATAAAAATATCGATATTTCTTTGCGATAAAAGCCCCGAATTCCACATTTGAAAAAACAATAATATTCCATAATACACTTTAAAGTCGGAATCGGCTACAATACAATATAAAACATTAAAATATTTGCAATCTACAATTTAGCGAAAGGCCCTGTATCGTCTAAGAAAATATCAGTAGCCAGCTTATGTATATTCTCCGGGTAGCAGGCATATTTTGCAAGATCCTTCACTCCAACATCCAGCAAAACCTCATCGTCAATAAAGAAATGTCCGGTGTAGTCCTTGGCATCGCGGCTAATAATTGCATAGGCAGCATCGGCCATTATGTCGGGTTTGCGGGAATACAAGGCCCCCTCTGGACCACTAAGCATCTCCACCGCCGCCGTGTGAACGGTTGTACGCGGCCACAAAGCATTTACCGCCACGCCTTGATGACGAAACTCCTCCGACATCCCGAGAACACACATGGACATTCCGTATTTGGCAATCGTGTAGGCGACGTGATTTCCGAACCACTTCGGCTTCATGTTGAGCGGAGGCGACAGATTCAGTATGTGCGGATTGTCGCTCTTCAGCAGGTGCGGCAAGCAGGTCTTCGATCTGTGGAGTTTGATCGGACGCAATGAAATTGGGGGCCAGCAACAGATAAGCCCGAGTCCACTCACACTAGAAACGTCCCCCTAGTGTTGATGTTCTGCATCAGGTCGTAGCGCTTCATGTCCGTGTCGAGGGTGGGGGTGATGGATATGGCACTGGCATTGTTGATGACAATATCGATGCCTCCGAACTTGGCCACCGCTGCCGCCACAGCCTGCTGCACTTGCTTCTCATCGCGCACATCGACAATGCAGGCTAACGCCCGCCCGCCAGCCCGCTCGACTAGTGCAGAATACAAAGGTCAAACTCCACTCCTTTCGAAAATGGTTCACTTACTCTCTTCAGCCGCCGTATAGATGGTTCCAGGTAGCTTGGGATGTGGCTCCGCCGTCTTGGCTGCGATCACTATGTTCGCCCCATCGCGAGCCGCCTTTAGGGCTATCGCCTTGCCGATTCCCCGGGATGCGCCGGTAATGAATAAGGTTTTGCCCCTCAGCTTGCTAATAGATTATCAAAGATTAGCTTGGCCAACAACATGGCTCTCTCGCCCATATCGAATTGTACAGACCCACTGTTCTTCATGATTGCGCTGCCAGCTAAGGAATGGTACTTGTTTCGGGTAAACGAATTATAAGTGAGAAAAGATAGTATTGCCACCCTAATCACTGGCAATTCACTGGTAAAAGTAGATTCCCTCAAGTCGCAGCATTAAATGCCCTTTAACTGGGAACACACCGACTCATGCTTGAACATTTTTATTATATTCAACAATATGTCGCTTTAGATAATTATTTGTTTAAAATTGTATTGGGACTATTTGGTTTATATTTGGTTAGTGCTTGGGTGCACAGGTCGAGACGCCAGCCCTGGTAGGAACAGCTGATGGAATATGTAACACAAACGAAATAAAGACCGTAAACAATTGGCTTGGCCCACACTCAAGCAGCCCATCAGAGCATGATGTTACATGTGAGTCGCAGCGCAACTATGATGCGGATGCAGATACGGCATCGGAAGCTAGTGTCCACCTGGTCGCCGCTGGCAACGGCATTCAATGCGCCGCCGTCGAAGCGCATCAACTTTACCCGCGATGATGTGGTGAGCCATGAAATCAATCAGCATGGGAGCACTGATTTTTATAAATTGTTGATGGACAGGGCCTTTTCCGGATGCCCGAGCTGCGCACCTTCGAAGGTTTCTACTTGCTAAGGGACAATGTGGAGAACAGGGCGCAGGATCTCATCGCAGAGGCGATCTCTAGTCAAAGACAGCGCAAAATGGTAGACATATTTGACGAGCTCTCCGACTCGCTGTGCAAGGTGGCCGACTTGGCGGAGTTCATACGGATTGCCCATCCCAAAAACAAGTACATGGAGGCGGCGGAGCAGGCCACCATCAGCATTTGCGGTGTGGTGGAGAGGTGAGTCTAAACGCATATATGTAGAGACCTCTCTACAGCCCGCTCTAAATGGTTTCTCAATGCAGCTTGAACACGCACAAACCACTGTACCAGGCCCTGAGGAAGGTGGTGGAGCAGGGAGACTTGAAGCCCACCACAGAGGTGGATCGACACGTGGCCCGACTGTTCCTCTTCGACTTCGAACAGTGCGGAATTCACCTGCCGGAAGCGGAACGCCTTCGAGTGGTGCGTCTCAACGACTACATCCTGCAGCTCGGCCAGAAGTTCATGAACGGAGCTGCCCAGCCCTCCGTGCTGCCGCGCTCCTATGTCCCAGAGTCCATCCGGAACTAGTGAGTCCATAGAGAATCTGACCAACAGATGATTACCATGAATTTTTGCCACCATTCAGCTTCCCCACCTCTGGGGAGAATGTCATCATCACTGGCTTGTGCACCAACGCAGAGAACGTTCAGATGCGAGAAGCGGCCTACCGATTGTACTTGCAACCGTCCGAGAACCAGGAGGAGCTGCTGAGGGATCTGCTGCTGTGTCGACATGAGCTAGCCAGGAGCTGTGGCTTCGAGACATACGCCCATCGTGCGCTCAATGCCAGCACAATGGAGCGACCAGAGCTAGTCCGCGAGTTCATCGATACGCTGTCGGATCAGCTGCGTCCGCGCGCCGAGGCAGACTTTGCGCTCATGACGCAGATGAAGCGCAAGGAGAGCGGCCAGCCCAATGCCCTGGTGGAGGTCTGGGACACGCCTTATTTTACAACGCAACTAAAGCGACAGTCGCTTGAGGAGCAGGCCAATGAGTTCCTCCCGTACTTCTCGCTTGGCGGCTGCATGGAGGGACTGGATAACCTCCTCCAAGCACTGTACGGTGTCCGGCTGGAGAACAGCGAGATGGAGCCAGGCGAGTCCTGGCACAGCGACATCTACAAGTTGGCCGTGGTGCACGAGAGCGAGGGTCTGCTCGGCTACATATACTGCGACTTCTTCGAGCGGAGCGGCAAGCCCAACCAGGACTGCCATTTCACCATCCAGGGAGGCAAGCGACTGCCCGATGGAACCTACCAGCTGCCCATCGTTGTGGTTATGCTGGGACTGGCGCAACCACGATGGACCGGACCGACTCTGCTGTCGCCGGCTCGGGTGGATAATCTCTTCCACGAAATGGGCCATGCCATGCATTCTATGCTGGCGCGGACCGAGTACCAGCACGTGACGGGCACTCGATGCGCCACGGACTTTGCGGAAGTGCCCAGTGTTCTCATGGAGTACTTTGCCAGCGACCCTCGCGTGCTGCGCACATTCGCCCGCCACTTCCAGACGCACAAGCCTATCTCCGAGGACATGCTGCAGCGGCTGTGCGCCTCAAAGCATCTATTTGCGGCCAGCGAGACACAGCTGCAGGTCTTCTACTCGGCACTTGATCAGGAGTATCATGGGGACACGGCCCAGAGGGGCGGCAACACCACGGAGACTCTTAAGGCTGTGCAGAAGCGCTACTATGGACTGCCCCATGTGGAGAACACGGCCTGGCAATTGCGTTTCTCCCACCTCGTCGGCTACGGGGCGAAATACTACGCCTATCTCATATCGAAGACGATTGCCTCCTGGATATGGCAGACCTACTTCGAGGGTAATCCCTTCAACAGGCAGTCTGGAGAGAGGTACCGGGCGGAGATTCTGGCACATGGCGGCGCCGTGCCCAGTCGGCAGCTGGTGGCCAACTTCCTGCAGCGCGAAATGACGCCCAGCGTGCTGGCCAATAGTCTGATACATGAGATAGACACGGACGAGTCCAAGATCAAGGAACTGATAGTCAGCAGAAGCTAATCCAATGTGAATACATAGTCCTTCTCCTCGCTTTTTATTAAACTAGTTAACTTTAACTGCCTTAAATGTTTTGTTTTGTCTTCGTGTTTGTGTCTACGCTGGACCCACGGCCGGCATCAGTTCCAGGCCCACCAGCTCCTTGGCCACGCGGACACCCAAAAAGAAGAGGGCGTAGCTCTTCACCAGCATCCTGCCAAGGGGATTCAGATTAGATTATGTAAAAACTTCCTACTGGAATTACTGGATTATATTCCTGGTATCTCTGGACACTCACCATTGGAACTCGTTGTTGTATATGCTGCGTACAAAGCTTAGGGGATTTCCTGCCTTCACCATTTTGATAAAGATTTTTTTAAAATAATATTAACTCAATATGTTACTATATTTTGCACGAGGAATGAATGAATACCGATATACCACTATAAAACATGAGTGGTGGGACAAACTTAGCCCACTACAGCCCCCTATATTTACACAAGGGAACAGCCTGAAAAAAGCACTGCTTTCAAACTCTCCTTGTAAATCAAACGATTCATTTAACATAAATACAAATTACCGCGATTTCTCGCAGCTTATCTTCGCTTAAATTCTTCAAATTTCATAACTTTCGTGGGAATATATTTAGGTACTAATCGGTCGTCAATGGGCTAATTAAATCGATATTATCGATGGTTCCATCGATGATTTTGCAGCTGCTAAGGCTAGTGCACCACGTGCAACAAAGAATCTAAATCCCTAATATCATAAAACAGGAGCAATAACTTACTATGGAGTCCGAAAAGGAAGAGTTGAGCATGGAAGTGGTGGAGCCCGAAGATGCCGAGACCGACTCAGAGCCGGACAGCGACAGTGGGGGGTCGGAAGACGACTCCGCAGCGAAACAGCCGAAGGAAGTTTATCTGCCGGGCAAAACTCTGGCCGAGGATGAGGAGCTGGTCTGCGACGAGAGTGCCTATGTGATGCTGCACCAGGCTTCCACTGGGGCGCCCTGTCTGAGCTTTGATGTCGTTCCTGACGAGCTGGGAAAGAGCCGCGAGTCATTCCCGATGACCGCCTACATTGTGGCGGGCACACAAGCGGCCCGCACCCATGTCAACAATCTGATTGTGATGAAGATGAGCAATCTGCACAGGACCCAGGACGATGAGGCAGAGGAAGACGATGAGGAACTGGAAGACGACCAGGACGATGTGCCCGACAAGGAGGAGCTGAAGAAACCACAAATGACCTGCGCCCTGATTAAGCATCAGGGGTGTGTCAATCGTGTCCGTGCCCGTCGTCTGGGCAACACAGTGTACGCCGCCTCCTGGAGTGAGCTGGGACGCGTGAACATCTGGAATCTATCACAGCCTTTGCAAGCCGTCGAGGACGTGCAGCTCCTAAAGCAATACGAACAGAACGAGACGCGTCCGGTGTTCACCTTCAGTGGACACCAGCAGGAGGGCTTCGCAGTGGACTGGAGTCCCAGTGCCGAGGGCGTGCTGGCCACGGGCGACTGTCGTCGCGATATCCACATCTGGAGTCCTCTGGAGGATGGCACCTGGAAGGTGGACCAACGGCCGCTGGCGGGACATACACAATCGGTAGAGGACTTGCAGTGGAGCCCCAATGAGCGCAGCGTCCTTGCATCCTGTTCGGTGGACAAGACCATTCGCATCTGGGACTGCCGGGCGGCGCCACAGAAGGCCTGCATGCTGACCTGCCAGGATGCCCACGAGAGCGACATCAATGTAATCTCTTGGAATCACACAGAGCCCTTCATCGCCAGCGGCGGCGACGATGGCTTCCTGCACATCTGGGATCTTCGCCAGTTCCAGAGCCAGAAGCCCATCGCCACCTTCAAGCATCATACGGATCACATTACCACTGTTGAGTGGAGTCCCAGCGAGGCCACAGTCCTGGCCTCGGGCGGGGATGACGATCAAATCGCCCTCTGGGACTTGGCTGTCGAGAAGGACGCGGACCAGGTGCAGGCCCAGGCTCAGAACGAGGAGGAGGTAAGCAAGCTGCCTCCGCAACTGCTCTTCATCCACCAGGGCCAGAAGGAGATCAAGGAGCTGCACTGGCATGCGCAGCTGCCGGGCGTTCTGCTCTCCACCGCTCACAGCGGCTTCAATATCTTCCGCACCATCAGCGTTTAGTCCCGTGCACGTGTCATGGCGTGCCTCCAATTCCCGTTCCAACTCCAAACCCCCGCTGCCGCTCCCGCCCACGTCCACAATCTACGACAATGCAAATAAACCATAAAACGAAATCTGTGATTGCCTAGATTGCTTTTTATTGGGGCTTCTGGTCTGCCGTAGCTTCCTTCGCATCAGCATCTTCATCATCCTCATCCATTAGCATCGTGATATTGATTAGATGACGCATGGTGGGGCGACCGTGCGGGCAGTTCTGCGAATAGAGAGAGGATTCATGTGGTCCATTATAAAACATGCTAGTCGGGGGATATATGGATCGATGGATAGTTGCTCCCCGCTGATGCACTTAAAGAATTATCACCTAATAAAATTATTTACAGTGATTATTACAACCCAAGCCGCTCCCCCGTGATGCAATCCGTCCCTCGATTCCATTCCCTTTGGATAACTCATATTTGGATAACTTTGGCAGCGGTTATCTCTCGACGCCTTAATCTCCCTGTGGGGCGCCTACGGAGCTCTGGCGAACGAAAATGAAATACGACCGCAGCACTCCGCATGGAGCTCTTGACCAGCGTGATTCTCCTCGGCAAGCGAGCAACCTGCATAAAGACAAGCTCCTACCAGCTTCAACGTCATGGAAAAGTCAAAAGCCAGCGACCCCGAGGAGGAGCAATCATTGAGTCGACCAGAGGCACCGCTGATGGCACACGGAAAGAAACAGACACAGGTGAGACGAACAGCTCCTTGACCAGGAAGGAAGAACTTTCATCACCAGATAAACCCTTCCAGCAGGATCAGCCAAAATGGAGCTTTTCCCTCAATTTGGCCTGCATTGGATCCTCAATTGGAGCAGCCGTGCCCGTGGGCTATTGCATCGGGGTCATGAACAGCCCCGCCGTGGTAAGAGGAGGAGCATGATTCGAGCATAATCCCAAACCATTATCCTACCCAGCACATGCGCTCCTGGTGCAACGAAACTCTGATTACACGCTATGATCTGCACCTGGCAGACTCTGGACTGGAGCTGCTCTGGTCGGCGGCCGTCTCCATCTTTCTGGTGGGTGGGGCCATCGGTTCAGTGACGGGCGCCTCGATCGCCAACCGTTTTGGACGTCGCGGATGCTTCTATATATGCGGTTTGCTCCTCGCCCTCGGTGCCATCTGCTTCGCTTTCTGCCGCTTGTGGGCCTCCGTGGAACTGCTGCTCCTGGGCCGACTGCTGGTGGGGCTGGCGGGGGGCCTGGTCACCGCCTTTATGCCCATGTACCACAGCGAACTGGCCGCCCTGTCCCAGAGAAGCACCCTGTCCCCGTGCTGTGCAATGGGCCTCACCGCAGGCGTGGTCGTGGCCCAGGTATGCAGCCTCCAGTCGCTGTTCGGGGGGCCAGACCGATGGCACATTGCCTTGGCCTCTTATGGCCTCCTCGTAGTGTTCTGCTACGCGCCATTCAGGTGGTACCCCGAGAGCCCCAAATGGCTGTACATAGTCAAGGGTCGGAAGAAGGAGGCCAGGCAACAGCTCCAACAGTTGCGGGGCTTTTCCCCGGACAGCGAGGCACTGCAGGCGGAGCTCGACGAAATGGAGCTGGAAGCATCGGCCAAGGTGGAGGCCAGTGGACTCGTGGAGGTGTTGCGTAATCCCCGGCTGCGCCTTCCACTCATCATTGTCTGCGCCTTTCTGGGGGGTCAGCAGCTGTCGGGTATCAATGCGGTGGGTGGAGCAATCCTCCCCATCATCCGCGCACCCTTAATCCTCTCTTGCCTTGCAGATATTCTTCTACTCTGTGTCCATATTCCGCAAGGCGGGGTTGTCCACGCAGGCGGCAGAGTGGGCCAATCTGGGCGCTGGATCCCTCAATCTGGCCACCTCGATGGTGGGTCCGATCTTGTTGGAGCGCGTCAATCGCCGCCCGCTGATGCTCTTCTCCACCTTCTTCTGCACCGTCTGCCTCTTTCTCTTCGCGATGATGCTCTACTTCATTGTGAGTGCTGGACAACTGTGTTCGAGTTCCTCTAATCTGTTCGGCTCTTTCAGGAGAGCTTCAGCTGGTTTGCCATGGGCTGCATTGGCTGCATCTTCCTGTACATTTTCTTCTTCCAGTTTGGTCTCGGACCCATTCCATTCTTCATAGGAGCAGGTGAGCTTTGTCCCATTTATCCTTTTGCATTTACCGAATTGACATCTCGTATCCTTCTTTAGAGCTGTTCGAGGTCTCTCCGCGTCCGGCTGCCATGGCTTTCGGGAGTGTTGTCTACTGGCTGTGCAACTTCATCATAGGCATGGCCTTTACCACGCTGCAGAATGCCTGGGGCGCGTTGGTCTTCCTCCCATTCTCTGCCACTTGCTTGCTGCTCTTTGGGCTGACCAAACGCTACTTGCCGGAGACCCGTGGCCGCGATCCATCCGAGGTGGCACCGCTCGTCGCTGACGGCTTTAAATCAAAGGTCTTGCGCACTCGCACTGCGAGCCAATCCTCTTAGTCCAAGTCCACTAAATCACACCCCTGTCTGAGCCAATAAATCCCACAAGTTTACACCGCGAGGCATCCGATGGAGATAAAATAAAGTTCTTAAGCATCTGGCTACACAGTTTCGACGCAGCCGCACAACATGATGGAGGTGGAAAGTGCCAGCTCTCTGGTGGAGCTCAAGAAACAGCCCAGGAGCCGTTGGACGGCTCTGCTCGTGTGGAGCACTGTGGGCAGCACCATTGGCTCTGCCCTACCCTGCGGCTACTGCATGGGCGTCATCAACACTCCAGCTGTGGTGAGTTATTCTTCCACCTCTTTCGCCCGTGTGGCAGCAGTTGGACTACGAGCTAAATCCAATTTGTAATCACTTTGTAGCACATGCGGTCCTGGTGCCAGGCCATGCTCAATGAGAACTATGGCCTGGAAATTTCCCCTGCAGCGCTGGACACTCTCTGGGCCCTCATTGTGGCCATCTATCTGATTGGCGGGGTCCTTGGCTCGGCCTGCGCTGGCTGGGCGGCTAACCGCTTCGGACGCCGCGGTTGCTTCCTATTGAGCGGCGCGCTCCTCCTGCTGGCGGCTCTGATGTTCGTCAGCTGTCGCTGGCTGCGGTCGGTGGAGCTGCTGCTGCTGGGTCGTCTGGTGGTGGGCCTGGGCGGGGGTCTGGTGAGCACTTGTCTGCCCATGTACCACAGCGAGATTGCGTCGCTGTCACAGCGCGGCACGCTGGGAGTCTGCTGCTCCGTGGGCTTCTCCATCGGCATGGTGGTGTCGCAGATCTGCACCCTGCAGTCGCTCTTTGGCGGCGAGGAGCTCTGGCACATTGCCCTCAGCTTCTACGTGGTCTTCATGGCGGTGTGCTATGCTCCTTTCCGCCTGTACGCGGAGAGCCCCAAGTGGCTGTACATTGTGAAGGAGCGGCGCCAGGAGGCCATCCAGATGCTGATACGGCTGCGCGGCTCTGACCTCGGCATAGGGCAGGAGATCCGCGCCATGGACGACGAGGCCTCCGACAAGGGCACAACCCGCAGTCTGGGCGAAGTTCTCGGCGACCCACAGATGCTGCTCCCCCTCGTCCTTCTCTGCGCGTACCAGGGAGGTCAGCAGTTGTCCGGATGCTCAGCGGTAATCCTTAACTCACGCATTGGCTCTCTCTCGTATTGAAGGTTTTCGTCTGTTGCAGATCTTCTACTACTCCGTTTCCATTTTTCGCAATGGAGGGCTCTCGACGAGCGCCGCCGAGTGGATGAATCTGGCCGCTGGCAACGTCAATCTGGCCACCTCGCTAATGGGTCCTCTTCTCATGGCCAAGTTCAACAGACGCACCCTTATGCTGTTCTCCACGGCATTTTGCGGCCTCCTCATGTTCTCCTTTGGCTGGATGGTCGAATACACTGTGAGTCCTTCCGAATCCTCGCAATCCAATCGAATCTTCACCAAAGCTTCTTTCTCATTCTGGATTTGTAGGCCCAGATACCATGGCTCTCGTATGGCACAATGGCTAGCATTTTCCTCTATCTGATCGCCTTCCAACTCGCCCTGGCTCCCATGCCCTCGTTCATTGGAGCGGGTAAGTAGCTCCACATTTGTGATTGCAGTTTTTGTTTTTTCATATTTTCCAATTCTTGCAGAGATGTTTGAGGTTCCCTCCCGCTCGGTGGCCCTGTCCATTGGCAACCAGGTGGGCTGGGGATGCAATTTCCTCGTTGGCTTCCTGTTTCCCGCCATGCACACACTCCTCGGGTCCTATGTCTTTCTGGTATTCGCCATGTGCAGCTTCCTGGTCTTCCTGCTGACCAAATTTTACCTGCCCGAGACGCGCGGCCGGGAGGTCTCCAAAGTGGCAGAGTTGGTGTCCAGAGGCTTTAGAAGTAAAGTCCTACAATAAAGTTCAATACATAAATATTCATAGTTAAGCAGGAAAATGATTCGTCTCACTCACACAATCGAAAATCTCTAGTGGGGAAGGAAGAGGCTCTACCCAGCGAGACGAATGCCATGGCAGAGGGAAGCTTTCTCTTGCGCTGTGCTCTATTACCACATCCATCCATATAAAATGTAAAATTCTAAAGAAAAACCACTAATGTATACTGACTGAGTACTGGGTATAAAAGTAGAGACGCGTTCGAAGAGTCTAACACACGTTCTTACTCGCTTTCATTCATTTTAATTTATTCCAAATGCGCTTCCATTCTGCTCTGGGGGCTGTGATCTTTCTAATATTTTCACTGTTTGCCTGATTATATTCTGCACGGGAAGGCAGGGTCGCGGATAATTATCCGTATTGCTCAACAAATCAATGGATTATATTTCCCTGTAATAGATTTAGATGTTCCCCTTCTTACCCAGGGCTGCTCGATTTCACCCATTTGGGTGATGAGCCGCCTCATGGTGGTCGTCCTGTTCAGAGCAGTGCCAATCATTACGGATTTGCGGCATGCGCGAGAGGCAAACATCGAGCGGACTCGCGAGGGTCGGCAGATGGTGCCCTCGGGGGCGTCTTGCAGCATGAAGATGAGCTCATCGATGTCCTCCTTGCCGAATTCCCATTGTCGGCTGTAGGGTTTGCCCAGCAGTCGCACCTTCCGCGTGGCGGGAGCTGAAGGAGAGAAATGTTCAAGTCTTCAGCCTCTAGCCTCAGACAGATGGGGGCAGGGCAGGGCACTCACCCTCCTGATTGATCTCAAATTTAAAGCCATTCTTCTCGAACACTGGCAGATGATCGATGAGCACCATCTCGTTGACGGCCGTCAGATCCAAGGACTGGGGCACAGTCAGACGCTGATACTCTAGCTGTGTGCTGCGTTGGAGCGTCTCAAAGTTGTACTTCTCGTCCGAGGCGTGCTGGTCAACAATGAACAGATCGTCCTGCAGCTTGACAATGATGAAGCCCAGATTGAACTGTCCAACGATGTCCATACGGGCAAAGTCCTCCTTGGCAATCTCCCTTTGCAGCTCGTCCTCTGCATTATTGTTCTGATTTGGGTTTATTTCGCTCTTGAAGCGCAGACGCTGCAGCTTAGCCTTCGTCCTGCGCTCCTTCTGCTGCTGCTCCTGTTGCCTTAGCCTAGCTGCAATCTCCTCGATTGAGGTCCGCAGCTCCCCGCTTTTGTAGTTGGCAAACGACTGCTCCTCGCCATCATCATCATGGTTGCCATCGAACTCAATTCGTGCTGGCAGCTCGATGTGATCATCATCATCGCTCCGATCAGCGGTGCTGACAGTTTCCTGGGCGGCCTCTGGCCTGGGCATCAGAGCCTCTACAATGCTCTGACGGGATTTCATTGGAGTCAAATTCTTGCAGTCAATGCGGACTGGCTTGGCTGGCTGGCGCAGCAACAGATCGTAGGCTGTGGGAGATTCAAGGTGAGTAACGAGACCATCCTTCTCCCTCTCTGTGCAACATGCTCACCCTTTGACTCCGTCTCCAGCTCCTTGAGGTTCAAGAAACTCTCATCCAGATTGGCCTGCACCTTGGCAGGCTTTTCTGGCTCATCGACACGATCCTCCTCCTCCTCCTCCTCCGATATTGAACCACATTTTGGACTCTGCTCTTTGGGCGACTCTTGGCTGAGGAAATCATGTATCTTTTGCATTTTCATGGAGCGAGCGGCCAACTCCTCGCCTTCCGCGCACCTACGCTTGACCGAAGCGCTGGGAGCAACTCCCTGAGTGTCTCCAGTGCGTCGCCACTGTGTGAGCACATCCATAAAACGCCGAGAGGAACTGATGGGAACCTCTGTCTCTGTCTCCTCCTCACTGGCCTTGCTGCCATCCTCGGGCTGAGGCAGAGGCTGCGGATGCAACATACTCACTATGGTTGTATTTTGCATTTGGAATGTTGATGGGGTTTGGCCAAAGGTCTCTAGCAGCGACTTCTTCAGGGCCAGCAGGAGGATCCGCTCGTTGTTGAGCAGCAGCTGCCGCTTGTCGGGGGTGAGGTTGACGTCCACGTCGGAGCGGGCCGTGACAATGTTGAGGTAGACGAAAGGCTGCTGCTGCACGTTGTACCGATGGTACGTCTCGTTTATGACTTTGGCTATCTTTAAATGCAGAGCAAGTCAGAGCATAAGCGGATGGTGACAAATGGATGATCGACTCACATTCTTGGGATCGCAGGGTCTGGCGTTGACGAAGAAGAACTGGCGATCCCTGGTGGAACGGCCTGCGCCATGGCGGCAGCTGGATATGTAGCCCTCCAGCCGGAAGTCGGCCTGGTTCAGCCGCTCCACATCCTCGGCGCTGAACTGTGTGCAAGTGGTGTCGGCTGCATCCGCGGACGACTCCAGCTCGGCCCGCAGTCCGGCCTCGCTCAGCTTGCCCTTCTCGAAGGGGCACTTTAGGGGCACAATGTCGGCCGCTTGGCGGGCCCCGAATACCGCGGATACGTTGGCCAGCACATCCTGGGCACCGTGGGTCTGCAGGACCACCGTCTTGGCGCCCTTCGGCGTCTGGTTGCTGCAGATGATGCGCACGCCTTTGGTCACCAGGCAGTAGGCCTGCAGGATCTGGCACATCTTGGCGAACTCTTTCTTGATGTTGCGCGTAAAGTCGCGCCGTCGCACTGGCAGAGTACTGAATAGGTTGGAGAGGCTGACGGTGGTGCCCACAGTGCGGGCGCAGGGCGAGCGCTTCTTGATCTTGCCCTCGTGATCGAGTTCCACTTTGAGACCTGCCATTGGGGGTGCAGCATACAGAGTCATACAGAGTTTAGGCCCGCGATTCAGATTTGTAGACTCACCCACATCGCTGGACTGGTGGCGGGTCTGAATTGTCATGTCGGACAGGGCGCAGAGGGAGCTGAGTGCCTCGCCGCGGAACCCGAACGTTTCCACTCCCAGCAGGTCAACGAATTCCCTTATTTTCGATGTGTGATACTTGGCCGCTGTCGACAGATCTCTTTAGAGTTTGGTTTTGCCTGAGGTTTTTTTGGTTTCCACTTACTCATTCCCTCCAGGTTGGCTTCCACCACTCCGCTGCCGTTGTCACTGACCTCGACGCCTTGCAGGCCCTGATCCTTCATCTTAATCTCCACCAGCGTGGCCCCTGCATCGATGGAGTTCTCCACCAGCTCTTTAACAGCCACAGCCAAGCTAAGCACCACCTGAAATGGCAAAAGGTGAATATGGACAGAAATAAACCATTTCAGATATGTACCTGGCCGGAGCAGATTTTATGCACAGTGTCCTTGGCAATGGGCTTGATCTGACCGGATGCAGCTGTGGTGGGTGCTGGCAGCGCGACATCCTCTTCCTTCTCTGCCATTTTGGTGGACTTCGGATGATTCGGTGTCTTACATTCAAACCAAACAAAAATGAAAATAAAATAAATTCTGGCGCGTTTTTAAAAACAGTGTGGCCAAATGCCCTTTGTATACTATATAGTGCCACCGCTGATTGATGGTGGCGCCACTGTGCCATGTAGATATCTTGTCGAATGTTTATAAAATTAAAAAAAAATTAAAAATTAAAGCATCACCACCCCTAAGACATGTTTCCATAAAACCAATAGAACAAAGAGCAGCACATTGTATGGGATTTAGGATTTAAACTTGCAAAACATGCAGCAAATCCAGCAAAAACATTTATTTATTAACGTATTACAACATGAAAAATGATCTTAATAGTACAATAAACGTTTATATCTAAATGTGATGAATCGATTGCGAAATAATTGTCAATTATTTATGAGTTGATGTGAATGTCAATGTGGTATATGTAAGAATAACAAAATATATATATATATACGTATATGCATGTGTGTATGTAGGTTTGTGAGTAGAATCTGGTTAAAGAATTCACCAGCCAAACATTCACTTAGATCTAATATAGCTGGATGTGGCCACAGGGTCAATAATGATGAGGGTCGGTCACCGGGTGGTTGCCGTTCGCGCTGAGGTTATCAGGTGGTCTTCCCATTCGCGATGCTCTCCAGCTGCTCGATGATCTTGTTCATGTCCATGTCCTTGGCGACCTTTAGGTACATGGTCTTGCGCACCTCGTGGAAGGCTGCCCACGCGGGCAGCTCCTTGGCAAGCAGCTTCAGGTGCGCCTCGATCTCCTGGGGCGTTAAATTGGCGCGGAAACTGTTCTGGATCTTTTTGATAATTACCTCGAGGGTGAGCACCCCCTTGCGCTCCGTCACGAACACGTTGCGCAGATGTCGCGCCAGTTCCGGCAGGCGCGAGTACTTGGTTGCCTCCTGGTCCTGCGACGGTCGCCTCGTCATGGCTTCCAGGGCCTTAGCCGCCTGCTTGGCCCGAATTTTCTCGATCAGCGACTTTGGCAGCCCCTTCAGCAGATTCGATGTGGCGTCTGGGACCTTGGGACACTCCTTCACCGTGGGCGTGGCTGTAGACGTTTCGGGTATTGATGTGTCGCCTTCCGTTCCCGTTCCCGCTGCCTCTGTTGATGTTGGCTTCTGCGGTGGTTGCTTATCCGGAGCAACAGCAGCAGCTTGCTTGTCCGCCTCCACTTTGGACTCGTAGCGGTCCATCGCCCTCTCCATGGGCGTGGCGCAGTTGAACAGATTGCGAGCCGTCGAGAGGATGTCCTTGGCCGAGGAATACTTCTCCACATTCGGGGGCTGGGGCAGTGGGGCCGGTTCCACCTCTGGACAGTTCTCCAGCTCGAACTGTGGGTGCCAGCGGGTCAGCGCCTTCTCAATGAAGATTGGGGGGTCCAGGGAGCGCAGGAACTTGGCGTGTGCCTGCTTCACGCGATCGAGCAGAAGGTTCTGGAATCGATGCATGCGCGACGTCATGACGTGTGGATTCATCGAAGTCGACTGGGCCGACGCGAGCACATCGTCCTCGTTGATCTTGCTGCAGCGGTGCTGCTGCTGGTCCTGCGCCTGCTCCGGGACCGCCTCCACATTGGGGCTGATCATTAGCTGGTAGTAGTCCGCCTTGGAGACCGAACCAAAGTTCCGCATCTTCATTTGACTGAAGACGAAGGCCTCCGGATAGACAGCCTTGATCTGGGCCAGATGCAGCTCGGTGAAGTTCTTGCGCAGCATTCGCTGCACCGCCGGCTTCAGCTTCTTGAACGTGATGCACTCCTTGCGATTGTGGAACATGGCCACCACCGAGTCCAGCCCCTTGAAGACGTCCAGCAAGTAGCGGTACTTGTACGGCAGCGGGAGCTGTCCGGCCTTGCTGGTCTCCGCAAGGCTGGCGTAGCGCTTGTAGGCCGGAACCTCCACCAGCTTGACGGGCGATCCATTCTTGGCCGGACTGAAGTGCAGCCGCTTGGAGGCGTCCGTGTGCCGCGGCGACATCAACTCATGCTTGTCCGGTGTGGGTGGTGGCAGTTTTGTGGGTGTCTTGAAGGTCTTCAGGGGGCTGCATTGAGGAGATGGAATGGTTGGAGAAATGTTCTAATCAGTTTTCAGTTTCTATTCGAAATAGTTTCAATTTTTAAACCCACCCCGAAATTGCAGGAAAAGCCGTTACAGAAAAGGTTCCTAAGGCTACCTGATAGACACACACACAAACACACAGACGATCCCAACAAAGGACACACACACATGGGAAACAACCCCTGAGAGAGAGAGAGAAAGCGAGAGGGAAGGAGAAGGTCAGGCCGGAATTTAGCGTCAGCGAAGGGTAAACATGCATCGCTATGCATAGCCATACATGCTGCTGAGGGCAACATAAATTCAAGTACATGCGAGAGAATGTTGTATCATAGCGATGGGTCGTTCGGCCGGTTCTGTGCTGTGCTGGAGAAATGCCATTTCAGCAATTGGACTCGAGCGACCCAGAGCGACCTCGATTGCAGCAGAGACAGCAACAATTTGGCTGGGCATTTGGCTTTCGGTATTGATGTTACCCACATTTTTCGCTGGCCAGCTGTACTCGACTCTGGCGCTGTTTACGCCGATTCTAGGCCACAGCAAACAGTTCGGTTGGAAATTATTGTGGAAGGCAGCAGCAAACGGCAATGCCATCTGACATTTTGGCATTATTAATCTTATTGTGCTTTTTATGCTTACCTTGTCAGCACCTCCAGCTCAATGGTGTCGAACTCCTTCAGCTGCACGGACAGGCTCGACTTTGATGGGGAGGGGCCGGCCTCGCGCAGGCGACGATTGCGTTCCTCCTGCTCCTTGCGCTTGAGCTCGAGGGCCGCCTTGCGGGCCAAGACCGCCTTCAGCTCCTGCATTTTGGCGCTGCGCGAGATCTTGCTCTTGACCTCATCGAAGGTGAGCTGGCGCTTCAGGTCGCTGTGCTTGATGGGCGAGGCGTCCTTGAGGATCTGTTTAGTGGGCGTGCGCATGCCCCGCTGCATGTTGTCCGCATTCTGCTGGCTGGTGATGGTGAAGCTCACTTTGGGCGTCTGCTCGCTGGCCGGCTGCAGCAGCAGCTGCTCCTCGTCGATCTTGGTGGCCGCCTGCTTCCTGGGCGAGAGCGTCCCCTTGCGAATGAACTGTACCAGCTTCGGCTGCTTGATGTGCGGCTCAAGCTTGGCTGGCTTCTTCTTGCTCGTCACCATCTCCTGAGGGGTGACAATCAGCTTTGTGTTGCGACTCGAGCGGGTGCGCATCCCGCTGGCTGTCGCCTTGAGCGTGTCGATGTCCGCATCTTGGAGCGCGGGGGCTGGGCTTTGCGGCTGGGCAGACTCTGCTGGTTCCACCAGGCGCTGCAAATGGTCAAAAAGGGATATTCCATGTAAATATGAATTTCGAAAATGGCCGCAGGATGCCGACGCACCGACACCCACACACAAGCACACACACAAACGCACAACATATGGGCAAGCGTCGGTGCAGATACAAAAGTATCTGAAAATCTTGGAAACGGCTCTCTTTGCTCGTGTGTAGTCACGTTCCTGGTGCAACTTACTCGGTTCTTGATTGTGATCGCATCATCGAGAGCGGCGCGTTTGCGATTAGTAAAAAATGCTGCTACCGAGGGCTGGGCCATTTCTGTGTGGTCTGATTAATAGTTGTGTTGCAGTTGAAGTTGTTTGCTTATTTCACTTATGGCACGTCCGGTCTTTGCTCGCGTCTTGGTTCTTTTTTATCTTATTTTCTCTTTATCGGTCAACACGCGTCGCGCCACAGCAATGATCAAATTACAAGTGGGCAGCCACGAATTTTCTCAAGATGCGATTTCCCTCCAAAAACTAATTTTGCGCCAAAACGCGAGCAGTGTTTGAAAGAAACCTTTGGGCAGCGTTGGTGTTGGGCAGCATTGCAATAATAAATACTGAAAATACCACAAAATGTAATTCTAAAATACACAAAATATTTCACAACACTGCAATAGTAAATACTGAATAAAATAACTAAAAAATTTTAGCCGTGCTGGTGGATATCTGCACGTTTTTGCAATGTTTGCTATTTGGATTAGCTGCTAAGGCGATACGAACCATGTAAGTTGGTCAACATCGACACAAAAAGGGCAACGACGAGCTACAGGCAAAATAATCTCTGCGCAAAAATGGTTTTAACGAGTGTGTGCCAACTACAGCCAGCGGCGGAAGCGAGTCGGCAATAGTGACCTGGCTGGTTTACACAGTGGTGTGCGAGTGAGCAAGGAATAGAGCTTACGTTACGTCGTTTACTTTACCAAGTGGCAGGCCCTGTTTTCGATAACACACAACACACATCAGAGATAAACCGATTTGATTTTTCAATGAAATAAAACATACATTTCTGTACCAAAAGAGCAAGGAACCCAATGTTTGATAGTATTAAGCCGTAGGAAGGCGATTTGCTGTGCCATTGTCATCTGTTGCCGACATTCCCGTGAGCGTTCAATGTGCTAATTTCGTCCCGATTTTTTGTGCAGAAATCCAGTTGTCAGAGCATAGGCAAAAGCAGAAGCAGCGGGAAGAGCAGCAGCAGCGGAGCGGTGTCAATTTGGAACAAGTGGGAGCCCCGAGGCAAGTAGACGATTCGGTTTTTTGTTGTTGTTGCTCGATTTGACGAAACGAAAGCCCCACCATTTGGCGCTGGCTCTCTGGGCCTGGCCTGGCTCTGAGTGGCTTTGGTTTTGGCAAGGCGTGCGCATACAGCAAGAACACAATACAAGCGTAATACATCGTACATTGCCTTATTGAGATCTGTGCACGTTGTTTCTTCTTCTCATTTTCACTCCACACAACAGCTGTTACACACTAACACAACACACACACACCACACACAGTCGGCGAAAAAGCGAATAATACGCGAAAAGCAATAGAAAGAACATCATGAACGCCAAAGCTGACGTCAACCGCCGCGTTTTGACCATTCAAGCGAAGAAGAAGCGCCATAAGAACAACAAGAAGCGGGGCAAGCAGAATGGAGTGGCAGCTGGGAATCCGTCGCAGGAACCACAGCAACAGCAGCAGCAGCAGAATTCCCAGACTGAAAACTGTGCTACGGCAGCAGCACCGGAAAATGCTAATAATAGCCCCAGTAAGCCCGAACTGCATCCGTCTGGCAGCGTTGGAAAGGCATCCGCCGCTGTCGCCACGTCCTTCAGTAAGGCCACAGCGACAGCAACTGCAACCGCCACATCCACGTCGAGCGGTGGATCGGGCAGCACCCCAGAGACCCCTAACCACTATCAGGCGCCGTTGCAATCGCAAATGCAATCACAGTTGAAGAACAAAAAGAGCAATCACAATCAGCAGCAACAGCAGCAAAAGCAGCAGCAGCAACAGCAGCAGCCGCCGCGCAGCTCTTCGAACGAGTCGTATGAGTCGGAGCTAAACAGCGAGAACGAGGAGCAGGAGCTAAAGGAGGACTACTGCAAGGGTGGCTACCATCCAGTGAACATTGGTGACCTCTTTCAGGGTAAGCTGGCACCTGTTTGCACGCCACACTCCCCAAAATCCCACCCCACTTGAATTGGGTTACTGGCTGCTGTCCTGTCATTTCCACCGTGGTAACCCTCATCGCTACCCATTCCCAGTCCCGTTTGTGTGCTCAATTAGATGCCTGGCTAGGGGGCCATATTGGCTTTTCGAGCATGGCCTCGGCCTCCGCCCCAAAAACCGAATACAACAACAACAGGTTGCCAATGGGTCTCGTGTCTGTGCGAAAGTTTCCCACAGATAAATCGAATTCTGTCCGTGCGTGCGTATTGCTGTCCCCTTTTCAGGGGTGCTTTCCCCTTCAGTAGGAGGGGCAGGGCAGCTCGTGTTGTGACAACGACAACAGCAGTGATAGTAAAAAGGGGCTCTCAACGTTTTTGACAGCCACCCATGCACCCATTCTGCAGCATTTTCATTTTTAGAAGGGCCTCTCCGAAAGAAGCACCGCCCCCGTAGTCATCGCCACAGATACCACATCCTGTCAGCTGCATGCTTTCCCCAGTAAATCCATTAGCCTGCCCAACAGTTGAAAGCTAATCCCCGTCCAACCTTCGATCGCGATAAAAGAGACCGCCCGATAACGCAGAATGAATGCTTAAAACTCTGATGTATGCAAATTATTGACCTGCGAATTCCGCCCATCTCTCGGTCACAGAACCTAAAAAGTATAACTGAAACATTTCCCCATATTGACAAGATACCAAGAACTACACAAAGTACTGGCCTATCCCAAATTTTGGTCAGGTCTAAATGCCCCTAAAGGTCCACCCCGAGTCTGTGCATTCCACAAACGACGGGGGGAGGAAGCGGACTGCTGACTGGTGACGGACTGCATTTAATTGAATTTAATCCACGGGTAGATGATGTAGAGTAGAGCCTCGTTCTCGCAGGTCGTTAGTCGTGGAGTGTGAGTGGGGCGATTAAAATGGATTTGCTGCCAGCAGAGGCGGATATTTGTGATTTCATTTTTTTGAGTGGTTCCGTTTCGTCCCATTTTGAACATTAACCCTAGAGAAGCAAGAGATATATTTTATTTTATTTTATTTTATTATTACTCCCCAGGTCGCTATCATGTCATCCGGAAATTGGGCTGGGGGCACTTCTCCACGGTCTGGCTATGCTGGGATCTGCAGGAAAAGCGCTACGTGGCCATTAAGATTGTGAAGTCGGCACCGCATTTTGCCGAGACGGCCAAGGATGAGATCAAGATACTCAGAACTGTGCGCGAGACGGATCCGTCCAATCCGCGTCGCCAAAAGACCGTCCAAATGCTGGATGACTTCAAAATCAGCGGGGTGAACGGCACGCACATTTGCATGGTGTTCGAAGTTCTGGGCGACAATCTGCTGAAGCTCATCCGCAAGTCTAATTACCGTGGAATACCGCTGGCCAATGTAAAGGCCATCACGCGACAGATACTGGAGGGCCTGGACTACTTGCACACCTGCTGCAAAATCATTCACACGGACATCAAGCCTGAGAACGTGCTGCTGTGCGTAGACGAGCCGCATGTGCGCTCTATGGCCACGGAAGCCACCAAGCTGTACTGCATGAACTCCAAGATGTACCCCTCGCTGGTCAGTCGGGCGCCCAAGGAGTACCGCGAGCCTCAGATCACCGGCAAGATGAGCAAGAACAAGAAGAAGAAGCTCAAGAAGAAGGCCAAGAAGCGCATGGAGCTTTTCAAGAAGCAGCGGGACTATCTCGAGCAAACCGGCCAGCCCGTGGCCGACGCTAATGCGTCTGCTGAAGACCAGGCGGACTTTGGCATTAATCACAATGCGGTGCAGAATGGTGATGCTGAAATCTCTGATGGAGAAGAGGACGTTGACGTGGACGTGAAGGTGAAGGTGAAGCTGGAACAAGATCCAGAAGAGAACGATGGCGATGATGAAGATGTGGCTGTTGAGCAGCCTGTGGTGCCCAAGAAAGAGCAGAAAGAGGAGGCCGTCAGCAACCAGAAACCGGTGGATGACACCGAGAAAACCAAAAAGAAGAAAAAGCGGAAGAACAAGAGTAAGTATCACAGTATGCCTTTCCCTAATGAATCTCCATTGATTGTCACCTCTTCCCCCACTCTTAATGGACCAGACAAACCCAACCAGCCACAATCGCAGCAATCTCAGCAACCTCAGCAGCAACTGGAGAACTCGACGAGCAGCGGCGACAGTAGCAATGCCGTGAAGAGCGGCGCCCACACCAACGGCAGTAGCAGCAACAGCAAAAGCAACAGCACAGTTAAAGGACAATCAAATGGTGCGGCAGACGGCAAGCAGATTCCGCTTCGACCCAAACAGGAAAAGCAGCAGGAGCAACAATCGTATCAGCCACTGAACAACAACAACTCCAGTTCGAAGCCGACATCAAACAGTAATTCGAAAATCTCAAGCTCTCTCAACTCTGTGTCGAACTCCTCGTCGGCCACTAATGGACCATATTCGGATCCTGGAGTGCCTCCGGCGCCACCACCGCCCCTGTCGAAGCACAGGCCAAAGCGGGAGCCGGCGCTGGAGGAGTGCAACGTGCAAGTGAAGATTGCCGATCTGGGCAATGCATGCTGGGTGGATCGCCACTTCACGGAGGACATTCAGACGCGGCAGTATCGCTCACTCGAGGTGATCCTGGGCTCGGGCTACGACACATCGGCCGACATCTGGAGCACAGCCTGCATGGTATTCGAGCTGGCCACGGGCGACTATCTCTTTGAGCCGCACTCGGGCGACACGTACTCCCGGGATGAGGATCACTTGGCCCATATTATAGAGCTGCTCGGCCCCATACCCCGTCACATCGTGTTCCGCGGCACCTATGCCCAGCAGACGTTCAGCCGGAACGGGGAGCTGCGAAACATAACTGGCTTGAAGCCCTGGGGTCTGATGGATGTGCTGCTGGAGAAGTACGAGTGGTTGAACAGCGAGGCGGAATCTTTCGCCTCCTTCCTCAAGCCCATGCTGGAGTTCGATCCGGCAAAGCGAGCCACCGCTGCGGAGTGTCTGCAGCATCCGTGGCTTAGATAAGATACGATGCCACCTGGTTGTTGGTTGCGCGCCACCCAGCCAGCAGCTGATGGAGCAGGGGCAGTAGGACTTAGAGAGGCAGGAGCAACGTTCATAGAGTCATCGGCGTCTGTGGCCACATTGGCCTCCATTTCATCAATTGCATCCACATCGGCGGCAGCTATGGCAGCGCTCAGGGCTCGCCCCTTTTCGGTAGCACCGTTCATGGCTGCCTCAGCTCCGCCCACACCTCATCCGCATGCGGCTAATTCAACGTCCACGGCCTGTACAGCGCCAGCCACTCCCTTGAGACGCCGCATCATCAACGACGATGTGGAGCGGGATGTCTTAGAGATGTTTGATCTTAATGTTTCCCACATGGAGGAGCCGCAGCCATATCCAAAGTCCAAATCTCAGCGCATTTTCTGGCGCAAAGCGCTGCGTCGCGTCTTCCAGCGCCGTAAGTGACATCAGCTGCGGCGTCGACGGCAAGACTTGCCCCGTTGGCATCGTCCTGCCCGTCGCTGCCGGCGTCGCAACTTGGCCGAGCGTGTGCGTCGCGTCTGCGCCTGCTGCGCCTACGGACAGATCCTACTGAGGGCTGCCCGAGTTGCTCTGCTCAGCTGCATCCGTTGGCGAACGCGCGGCAATATACGCAACAGCAATTTCTACTTTAGCAATCACTAAACAGCACAGCCAACATCAACCTGAAACTTCAATCAGCTACCATCGACCAGCGACCATCGAGCGGCGACCAGCAACCAACAACCACGAAGAGGCGCCAAAATACCTGCTACACACCAGCTCCCACGCGAACCAATTTGAATTATAGTTTTTAATGTAAATGATGAGATATTCATTTGGTTTAGTTCTTAGCTATGCCAGGTCTTAATTTATTTCCTGTGTTTCACACCGACAATTATACTATTTTCGTTGGTACATAAGAAAGTAAACACTGTATTAGCGCTTACACCTACCCACAAATCCTGTGCATAGGACATGGACATCACTGCCAGAGCACTGTGCCTGGTCCGTGCTCATGCTTTATCCACCATCTACCATCCAACTTGTTGGTGTGCTAATAGACAGAACTCCACTACATAAATCATTTAATCGCAAGGGTCCCATAGAAGATTCGAACGAATATATATAGATAAATGTCTTTTTGTTAGTGTACATTTAGCCAAGAGGCGCAATCTGCATCCGTTGCGTGCACGAACATAGCGAGTTTATAGCGAACATGCATACATAGTTAATTGAACTAGAGTCCATTGGTCTGCGAGGGCCGAGAAGGAGTTTTTTATTAGCATATGTCGACGGAAATGTGCATGGGAAGGCATTAATTGAGCTGAACATAACAATAATATAAACGTAGCTAATTAGTTTAACCTAACCTCGGTGGAGGGACCGTCTGAACAATCTGAAATTAAATTACGACTAATGGGAGAAAAAGCAGACCAGAACCACCTCCTCGAGAGCACTAGTAAAAGCACTACCAACATCAGCCACAAGTGAATCCAATCCTTAAATCTTAAGCGGAACTAAGTAGTATGCTTAAAAATACCAATGTAGCTGCCACTAACAAAATATTGTTCAACATTTAAAATTAGCAAAAGAAACACAATAACTAATTAAACAAAATATCGGTAGAGAAATATTTGAAGCTCTCGCAACCAATCAACCCAAACACACTTTTGACACACCTACGAGTACTAAAACTTAAACACTAAAATTATGCAAATGCACTCTCTCTCTCTCTCTCTCCGCATACACACACATACACACAAATGTATTCTAGAAGGCCACTTTAGTTAAGGCTAGAACTTAAAATGTTTTCGGCAATAGATACGATACGAAACACGATCCTTAATATGACATGAAGTAATATGTATTTGTGTATTATGTTGTGCAAGATTGGCTAGGAAAGCTTATCAGAAGTGCATAACTGCTGCTGAGCTGGAGGATTGTTCTTAACTGACTATTTACTATACACATACGAGTGCATACATACACACACAATCATACATAAATATATATATATATATATGGAAAAGTGGCCTTATTAATTCAATTTTCCGCACTACACCCAGGCACCGCACACACACACACTCAGCAAACGAATCACAATTGAAGATTTATAAACGGAAAAAACCTTATTGCTAAACTTGATTTCCCCCTAAGAAAACTTAAACCTTAAACCAAGTAAGCGAATATCAAGCTAAACTACAATTAATGCAAATGTCTACGAAGTAATAGAAGAGAGAAACGATCCCTAATTGTTAGCCACAATCAATCTACGATGTCATCAGATTAATCATTAACCGAAATTCAAATATCTTCGGCTGGCCGATGTTTCGACATACATATACTCTTTGAAACCGCAAACTTCCAAAAGAAGCTAAACTAAACATGATATCCCAGAGGTGGAAGTGGAGATGGATGTGGAGAAGTGGGGAAAGTTCACACGGAGAGGACTCAAGATGAACAACTCTATTCGCTTCTGAATCAGGAACCCAGTTGCCGGATCGCTATTCCAATATATTCTCACGCTTTCAAAGAGTATGATTATGAATTATACGATACGATATATAATTTATTGATGTAGTTATAAAAAATAAACAAAAAATTACACAAATTGGAAAACAATCGACAGAGTTTGTCTTTACTAAATATTGTATGTTTATATATGTATCTTTGAAGAGCTAAATCTCTTGTTCATACTCGAAAATTCCACCAATACCCTGAAGCAAGCACAGATTCGAATAAAAGACGAAAATTTATAGCCACATAAAAATCACAATGGACGGCAACTGCCAAATGAATGGGTAAAATTGAAACATCTTCGTCGTGGACATAGACAAACATCAGGAGATGTGTCCGAATGCGAGCTTCTGGGACCGACCTTCGACCTTCTTGCATCTCAACGGACCGTTCTGAGCTCCCTCCAGAAATACATCACGTTTTGTTTGTCAATGGATTTGTCTGAGCATAAATTGAATTTGCACTGCCTGCCTACATTGCCATTTCCTACATACATATACATATGTGTGTACATGTGTGTTACGCAAACGCCAGGTTTAATTTCAAGTTCACTGTGTAGTATTTTCACAGGAAAACTTTCAGTGCAACATAAGTTAAGTCCTACCTCTGTTGGTTTGCTTTCGGCAACTGCCAGGGAATGCCAAAGAATTCTCCAAGACAAGTGGCAAGAGCTGAGCGCACACTGGGCAGGCTCTCGTCTTTGCTCTGAATTGTTTGCCAAAGTTTTAGATAAGTGCAAATGTGCGCTGAGAGCGTAAAGCAGCATTTCTCCAAGAACAATACCCCTCAAGTTGGAAAAAGTAATCTGTCAATTAAACCCTTAAAATAATTAATCCAGACTTTCAGATTCATTCCTCAAACTACTCTCACTTCGAATGATTCGGTTTCTACTTTTCAATTTAAATAAATAAAATCTTTTCTTTGTATGTACGAGTATTTATGAACTTGTAAATAATTTTGAAAGCTTTAACAGCTCAATTCAAGCGTTTTGGATGGACATTCGATTCCATTTACTTGAAAGTTTTACAACAGGCTCCGCCTCCTCGAGTGTGCTAACAAGACCCGCACTTGACGGACCCGGATTTGGTTATAAATGTCCAACAATTGACAAACTCGACAATCTTGAGAGCATCCACACACACACCCACAATTGAGGCGAAGTTTTGCATGCTCCGAACCCAAACAGAAACGAGAAGGGACGTGTGAGACGCTTCATACGCGTCGCAACTTTTATACCCGGCACTCAGTACTACATCTGCACCTTAGCGGTTATTTGTCAAATTTTACAATTTTTCTTCATCTGTCATCTGCATCAACAACACTACTCACGCCAACACGCTCCTTTAGCTCGCCACCCTCCCCTAGAGCCACACACTGCAGCGTCAGGGCAGAGACGCGGCAGAGATGCGGCAGAGGCAGAGGCAGAGGTAGAGACGTGTCTGCGCGAAGCAGAGTGTGAATGAGAGAATGTGCAAAAAACAAATATAAGCTGTGGGACGGGGTGGGTTTAGCCACTTCAAATTAATTTCTTCATTGTGGCCATAATAATGATCCAATCCGATCCCAATTTAGTCTGGTCCCAATCTGCTAGATATGGTCATTCCCTATTGTTGCTGATCAAATATATAAATACTTTATGGGGTCAGAAACGTTTCCTTCTGTGCGTTACAAACAACCGTTACTCACACAAATACAATATACCCAATTTACTCTTCGAGTACAGGGTATAAAAAACTGAAAAGGGAAAAGGAAAATCGAAAAGAAAACTCTTTAGACAAGTCGGTCAGAATGTTTGTGATGCGTCTGAATGAAACCCTAACAATTGTGTGTTCTGTGTTTTGCCATCCTAGATGATCGATATTCGAGGCAGACACAAGCACACGCATATAAATATACAAATACAAAAGGAACTTTCAAAAGGACCCTTTTTGTAAATGCTGCGAAGCCCAAACGATTATTCAATTTGCACTCTGCGAATCTGAGCCTTCGCGCTCTGAAGGGAAAGGAAACGTTTAACGTCGACGACCTACCCGAAGTCCCCCCAACCATCCGACCATCCCACCAACCTCGAACCATTGTGCACTTTCAAACGTCCTTGTTGAAAATGCCAGCGAGTGGCAAACTGATGACATTAAGTAGCCGTCGGGTTGGCCAGGATTAGATAGCAAAAGTGCCTGATGTTAGTTTAAAGTAGATAAACAAAAGCGGAGTCTGTCTCAGCCCCTTCATAGCCCCTCTATTTGTTGCCGCCTATCCGTCAGACTGTGCTACCCAGTCTCATTCCATACTCAGACTACTCAATGTTGTGGCTTCCAGGACTCTTGCGGTGGTTCAGTGTTGGTGTTGGTCTGTGGGTAGTTTGTGTACGTTTGTCAAACATTTGTGATTTACTTTACTTTAATTTACTTTACACCCCTTCAAGAACTCACAAATAGATTTTGATAAAATATTTTTGGGGAATAACGGCAAAATAGTTGCTTTTAAAGAGGTAAGCCGATGTATGGGTTTTTCCTCAGAAGGCCATCGTTGCTATCCACCTAACTTAACATAAATTAAAGTTTCTCCTTTGTAATTGCACGAGCCTCGTTCCTCTTTCTCTATCCCCTGCAGTCTCTCTTTTCTTGAGGCAACCACTTGTTTATAAAATGTACGTACAACGCGTTTTCGGACTGACTCCGAAGATTTCGGGGCTCCTTCTCTTTGACCTACTGCCGTCCTCTCTTAAGCTTACCCACAGGACAACCTTTTTATTTCAACCTCAATATGTTGTTTGTATTGTATCCCGGAGTATCGCCCGCCGACTGGCGAACATTTTGCAAGCTGAGTGTGGAAACTTGGCGCTGGGCGCTTCGCAATTTGGAGTTTCGATGTAAAGTTTGGTATCCTTTTAACACCATCCCCGCACATTTGAAATTGGGAAACTGAGGACTTAATTAAAATCAATGGTGCATGCCCTGAAGAGCAATAAAGCGTTGAATCAAACAAACCTCAGCGGCGTTTGGGGACTGGGGTTATTTTGGAACAAGCGACGCGTATATAATTTCGGCTCTCAATGACAAAGGAGTGTTTGGCATGCTCGGAACGTGAAAAATATTTTCAATATTATCAAAATAATGCACACATATTCCAAAAAAAACTGTTTATTACATCTCTCTATTCAATCCTTGAGGAATGATAGGTCGGTCATAATAATCTTTTGAAATGCATTTGCGATGTGTGTTATAATTATATTGAACATATCCATGGGGAAAAGCTCTTCCCGCTGGGAGGGAATTGCCAAGGATAGAGCGAGAGATAGTAATATCCAATGTGAATTGAATTTGCCGAAACGAAGAGGAAATAAACGATAGCCACTTGATTAAATTTATATTTCTTCTGTCCGACTTTTTTTACAACACATACGGCAGGGCGGAGAGAGGGGTTGGATGGTCAGGAGTGTAGTGGAATGTGATGGGAGGGTCTGTCATCATCAGATGCCACTTTAACTTGACCACCCATCGTTGAACTCAATATTTACTTTTCCTCACCGAAGAGGCGGCTCCCACTGGAGTCGAGGACCAGGCCCTAACCAAACAAACTGTTAAAATAGAACTCATGTACAGAAGGAATATACAAATACATACAATATAATAACGTATACGAGGTGCATGCTTCTTTTCTAGTGTCCTCCTACTATTTTTGTGTAGATTAATTACCATGAAAATTAACATTTAATTGCTTAATGTTTTTATTTGTTAAATAAAATATTTCCAGTTGGAACTGCTGGGGATCCCACACGTTTCGTTTTCTCTCTCAAACAGATACAGCCATTGGATACTTTCATCTAATCCCTCTTGTATGTGTGTTATTGTGTGTGTGTGTGTGTGCATGAGTGTGTGTTTGCATGTGTATGTGTTTGACCTTGAAACTGTTATATCAGTACACAAATACACAGATAGTCAAAAGCACATACTCGC